ACTGCTGTGCGAAAGATGAGGTTATTTGGATGAGGATTCAAAATATTGTTGTTAGTGAAAGTGGGAGGTTGGTGGTGGCGGTGAGGCATTTTTATTGTTTCGCATGGGGGGGTGTTTCGGAAGTGGGTACGTTGACTTATCAGCGAGTTTTGCTCCACTTCGCAGGTTGATTACGCGAAGCAAGCAGTGCAGTAGATCTAGCTAATCAAATAGTTCTTTTCCCCGAAACGTGGGTATTCGCTTGGATAACCTGAAGTATCCCGCTGGATCGCAAAGCTCCAGGGGAAACATGATAAAAAGCTGCCCAACTAAGCCTCAATCGCCCAGACCGAGGACTTTGTTCTAGGATTTTATCAGGTAGTCTGAAGTCGAAAACACTCGTGTTCTGAACAGCGGTAAGACAATTCGTAAGTTTTTGAAATTCTACTCTCAAGTTTTTTTCAACAGCATGAACCTTGCGAATGTGCGAGGAGGCGTGGTGATCAGGACGTCTCGGAGCAGACGTCGACGGGTTCATACGCCAAATCGGACGCATCGATTTTGAAGGCCGGGCCGGATAGGGGACAGCGGGGGAATTAGCATAATTGTCGCATAAGTGCATCAAGGTGTTATGCACGTAATATGCAACTCACCAGTACCCATGCACAGCACAAGCGTGTCGGAGCTCTCTCATTGGCCTGGTCGAGCGCGCTAGAGCCAGCTGCGAACAAGGCTGCGAAAGGCTGAAAACAATTCTTTCGACGCCCAATCTACGCGATCGGGTGACCGTTGACAGCATTTTTCCCCATCATTTTTGGTCCAATTTCATTTAGACGTCACTCAATCCCAGCGAAATGACATAGCCGCTGCCAAAACGCACCGAAAAGCGCAGCAAACTCGATCGCGATACCCAAAATGGTGGTCTGCAAGTTCTACGAGCAGGGGAACTGCAGGTATGGAAGTACGTCGCGCATCCCCGGTCGCATCGATCAGCCAGCCAAAACAAACCCAATCATGGGCCAAACACGCGCAGAACCAGCACGCTGACGTTGGCGAACCCAGATAATTGCCGGTTCGAACATCCCCGAGGCCAGTCGAACAACCGATTCGCCGCTTTTGGCGGGAACTCCGGAGGAGGGTTCAATCGCGGCGGAAACGACAGTTCGTGCTCATCATTCTGACCCAGATGCGACACTATATACTCACAAACACGCAGCTCTGCCGTACATGCTGTCGAAGGAAACAATCGAGAAGGACCTGACCTCTGAACAACCACAATGGATTCTGTCAGCGTACGGACCGGGAAGGGACGCCCCGGAGCAGCTGTTCGGCGGACCGATGCGCGAGCAGAGCTTTGAGGAGATGAGGCTTCACCATGTCATGGCGACGGCCTCGGGCAACCCACAACAAGCGGTAGGAACCACGATTCGTGTCTCGCCGGCGGGCTGCTGACAATAGGCAGCTCAATCAAGCGCAAGAGCTGTACCAGCAAGCACAGCAGCAGATGAAGACCGCGGTCGGAAATCTGGACGGCGCGATCCAATTCCTCATCTCTGCCGAGCAGAAACACCCGAATCGAGTCGATATCTGCAAACAAGGAACGTTACCAGGCGGAACGACGGGAGAGTTTGCGGTTGGCAAGAGGGCAACCGGTTTGCTCGGCCAGGCGAACCCCTTCGGGTCTGGGGCATCTTCCGGAGCGTCCGCGAATCCGTTCTCTTCTGGTGGCCAACAATCATCAACCTTCGGTAGCGGAGCTTCGACGACAGGTAGTGCCTTTGGTCAAGCATCCGCCCTTGGGCAGAAGCCGAACCCCTTTGGCGGGGGAGCCGCCGCACCTGCCTTTGGCCAGCCTTCGCAACCGACATCATCTTTCGGCCAAGCATCGTCAACACCGGCATTCGGTCAACCGTCTCAGCCGACGTCGGCCTTTGGCAGCGGCGCGCAGAGCTCAACCCCAGCATTTGGCCAGCCGTCGCAGCCTTCATCGGCTTTTGGACAGCCTAGTGCTCTTGGAGGAGGGACGTCAGCGTTTGGTCAAGCATCAGCGCTTGGCCAAAAGCCGAATCCGTTTGGAAGCGGTGGTGCCTTCGGACAGCCTGCCCAGTCTAGCGGAACAGCTACCAGCGCGTTCGGTCAACCTTCACAGCCTGCCGCATCTGGTAGCGCATTCGGTCAACCGTCACAGCCTGGGGTTTCCGGCAGCGCATTCGGCCAACCTTCACAGCCTGGGGCTTCTGGCAGCGCGTTCGGACAACCATCCGCACTTGGAGGTGGGGGAAGCGCCTTTGGCCAGGCAAGCGCACTGGGGCAGAAAGCGAATCCTTTCGGAGGCGGCGGTGCGTTTGGTAGTGCCAGTGGGAGTACTACCAATGCCAGTCCGTTTGGACAGGCGGCGGCGAACACCAACAACGCGAGCAGCCCTTTCGGACAACCAGCGCAGAATGCGACTCAAAATGCGAGTCCTTTTGGGGCTCCATCGCAGCCAACGCAAAGCGCGTTTGGCCAGCCATCTCAGCCCGGAGCAGCGGCCAGTCCCTTTGGTCAACCATCCCAAACCTCTCAACCGGCGGCTGCCAACCCGTTTGGACAACCATCGCAGACCCCGGCGGCCTCCAACCCATTTGGCGCGAAACAAGATGCGCCAGCAAGTGGCGGCATGGACGCACAGCCGACACAACCAACAAGTGCCTTTGGTCAGCCTTCTCAACCACAAGCAGCTGCCAATCCCTTCGGACAAGCCAAGCCTGCCTTTGGTCAGCCAACAGGACTTGGAGGAGCAGCGCAGGCAAACCCATTCGGTACACAACCTGCAGCCCCGGCTGCCCAGCCACAAGCAGCACCTGGAAGCGGGCCGTACCCGCCGGGTAGCTCTAAGCAGCATCCTCCCGTGTCAAGCTACAGCTCGAAGGGAATGGACGGGAGGCTATCAATGTTCAAGGGCAACCCTGTCGTGTACCAGAATAATCTACCCGGTGTGCGCGCGTTAGACGGAGGGTGGAAGCGAGTCTGGTTCCCCGACGGGCCGCCGAATTACAACAAGGACACGGAGCTTCCTGACGAGGCATATGATGAGAAGTCGAAGTTGCAGTGGCAGGCTTTCACTCAGAAGGGCCAGTTCGAAGGGGGACTCATGCCCGAGTTGCCACCAAAGAGGGAGTTTTGCCTCTGGGATATTTAACTTGGCCTGGAGGTTGTCAAGATCGGCGGAAAAGGAACGCGTGCCGCCTTGTACTTTCCATGCAAAGGAACCAGCATTGCAGGGCGTTATATCAATACCATAGGATAATCATAAAAAGTTAGCGGGTAGAGAGGTATTTGACCGGGCGTTTAAACACCGGCAGCACTGCACCCGTCTGCGGGCGTGTCCTGGGACCCGGACCCCGCCGATACAATCACGGCTCTGCACAGCATCACCACACATCACAGCGATAGTTAAATTGGGGTCATTGTTTTATTTGGGTGGTATCTAGACCTCCAAACTCGGCCCGCCGCAGCCGTCTCGCGCGAGAGCCTTTCGGCATCCCCACGCACAGCGGCGCAGCATTCCCAAGCCAAAGCCCATACTGTTCGTCCCTCTTACAACAAGTCCCTTCTCGGTCCCGATCCGCGGCGTGTTTCTTTTTAAAAAGGAAAACTTAGGCGGCGATGGTGACCTCGACCTCGACACCAGCCTCGATGTTGACGATGATCTGCTTGACGATCTCGGTAGGGGCGTTGAGGCTAGAGGTCTGGTTAGCAATGCAATTCTTCGTTCAATGAAAATGGCAAGCGCGCGCGCAGGGCAAAACACGTACTCAATGAGGCGCTTGTGGATGCGCATCTCGAAGCAGTCCCAGGTCTTGGAACCCTCACCGCAAGGGGTCTTGCGGGTGGTGATCTTGAGGGTCTTGGTGGGCAGGCGGACGGGGCCGGAGACGCGGAGGTCCTTGGACTTGGCGCGCTCGATGAGCTCGGCAGAGACCTTCTCGAGGGACTGGACCTTGCGGGAGGAGAGGGTGATGCGGATCTTGTGCGTCTTGGGCGCCTCGCCGAAGTCCTTGTCCTTGTTGTAAGACATTTTTGCGGGATTGAACGGTTGGTTCTGGGGGTTGATTGATGGAAGAGAATTGGGCGAGAATTGGTCCTTCACGACTCGAACGTTGGTTGCGGCAAAGTGATGAAGGCTGGTTGGGCTCGAAAAGAAGCTTGGAGGAGAGGCTGCGAAAATTGCGATCGCGAACTTTTTCGTGGGGGAAAGTTGTAGGGCTTTACCGAAAAGACGCTAGGCCTGTTTAGGAGTAGCGCAAGGTGGGATGTGTACGTACTGCGTGGACCCACTTCCGCATCAAGCTCCAGCCGGGGGTCTTGCATCGACCATGAATCATCCGGCGAACGACATGACAGCTCAGCTAAGCCGCATGCAATAAGATACACGACGACCGCTCTCGCGCAGAGCACCTCCCTCATCCTCCCCGCCTCCTCACAATCAACAATCTCCGCCAACCGCGAGGAGCGATAACCAAAATGGCGACCCTCCCACCTTTCGCCCTGTTTCCATCATCCAAATGGCGCTCTCATCTCACCCCGCAGGACTGGAATGCCCTCATCGACGCCTGGACGACGCTCTCACAGGCATATCTCGCCCAGACCGACGCCCAACTTTCAAAAGCAGTCTCGAAAGATGACTCCCTCCCAGCCTTTCTCTCCACGTTCATCACAGAGGTTGCAGAGGCCAGCCCAGCCGCGACAATAGGCTCATCCGCGCCAGCAAAGGTGCTTCTCAGAACGGCGTTCACCCTCACAGCCCGCCTTCTCACCCTCTCATCACCCCCGCCGATCCCGCTCACGACACCCACCTTTCTCGCCAGCTTCAGCAAGCTCTTCCGGAAAAATGCGCCATCTGTCCTCACGAAGGCATGGAAGGCACACGCCGCCGCCTTTGAGACGTCGCTTGCGGGTTTGAAGAAGTCGCTCACGCAGTCCCTGGAAGCAGGGATGAAGGCCGACCTCAAGTCGCTCGAGAGCAGGCTGGCCGGGCTGAATCACCTGCTGCACGCATCCCCTGACGCTGCGGGCTTCTTCCTTGCCGGGTCAGATTTCTCAGACGGTCTGGTGTCTGCATTCAAAATCACGAATCCGCCATTGCGAAAGGTGCTGATCACAACAATGTACCTATGTCTCATCGGGCTCACAAAGGGCGAGACGCCGCGGTTCGGCATGCTCGCCGACGTCCTCTTCTCTCTCAAATCTGCGGCGGAGACGCACAAGGCCGGACCGCTCAATGTGAACGACTCCCTTCTCGCGGAGCTAGTCACAGTCACACCGGTGCTGAAGCAGCTGCTCAAGCGGGCAGAGGAGAAGGGCGCGGCTTCGACGGCGTTGAAGACGAGGATCTCGGCACTGGAAGGGTTCAAGAAGCCTGGTGGGGGTTTGATGAGGCCCAAGAGGCTGGTGAAGAGGAAGGTCGACAAGGGCAAAGGGGTCGTTGACGCGGAGGATGTGCAAGCCGAGTTGCATATTCACAGGCAAAGCCAGATCGCGCTCATCCAGGACCTATTCCCCGATCTGGGTTCCGCGTTTGTGTCGAAGCTGTTTGATGAGTTTGGTGATGACACGGAGGTTGTCACGTCGCACCTGTTGGAGGATGATCTGCCGCCACATCTCAGAGACTTGAACCGGGGCGAGCAACTGTAAGTGCCATTTTTCTCACTCTACGGACCTACTAACACAAGACAGATCACCCAAGATCGAGCGGCGCTTTGGCCACGACATCGCACCCAGACCCACACCACCACAACTCCCCCAACGCCACAACGTCTTCGACGACGACGAACTAGACAGACTAGACCTCGATGTCTCCAAACTCCACTTCGGCAAGCGAAACCCCGAAAAGACAGCCGACGACGTGCTCAAAGACCGCTCCACCGCGCCCAACAAGGCCGCCATCCTCTCGGCCCTCGCGGCGTTCGACTCAGACGACGACGAGCGCGACGACACCTACGACGCAGACGACGTCGGCGGCACCGTCGACGCCGGCGCCAACGAGGAGGCCGACGGGCAAAACGACGCCAGCGAGGAGACGCTGTTCAAGGCGTTCCAGGCGGATCCGACTGTGTTTGACCGCCAGGCTGCGAACAGGAGGGGACAGCCGAGGGCGAGGTTGCGGGAGGAGACGGGTATGACGGATGAGGCTATTGAGGGGTGGGCGGTTATGCTGGCAAGGAACCCGGCGCAGAAGAGGAGGCTGGAGGCGAAGTACAGCGGCGCGGCGGCGTTTACGGGCGCGCAGACGGAGTTGCGGTCCACGGCGTGGAGGGCTAGTCCTGCGGGATCTGGTGCCGAGGAGTCGGAGCAGGATGGAGCCGGCGGCTCGTCAAGAGGTGGGAGAGGTGGGCGCGGTCGCGGTGGTGGTCGGGGTCGTGGCAGAGGCGGCGGACGTGGAGGGAATGTGGCGGGTCCGACGGGAGACAAGGACACGGAGGCGGCGCGGAGGAGGAAGGAAGCCAGCAAGGGCTCCAGAGCGAATCACAACCGCCGCGACCAGCGCGCGAAAAAAATGGGACGAGGAGGGCTGCCTGGATAAGGGGCTACTGGCAACAGAACTACAGCTAATGTACAGAAATACGGCTAATGTAATCTTTGCCTCTTAGCACCCGGGACCGAACCGCGCGGTATCATTGCAGCTGACCGTTTGCCGGTGGCCGTTGACGTGAAGACCTCGTCGTCATACAGATCCTCCGCGCTGAGCGTTAGGGCGTACGGGCTCTTGACGTCTACGATGCTGGGCGTCCCCGGCTGCGGGGTAAAGCCGAAGGTGTGGACTGCGGCGGGAGATATGCTGCTGGAGAACGATGACCCGACTTCCTCGACCCCAGTGTGCCGGGACCATAGAACGTGGTCCTGTGGCGTCGCAAGCTCTGACGTGCCGCCGAGCGAGGGTAGTTCGCCGTGGTCGCTCTCGAGTCGGCCGATCATGGAGCGGAGGGATTCGCGCGAGCTGCGTCTGCTGTCGAGATAGGTGCGTAGGTCGTAGCACTGTCGGCAACTAGGGTAGACAGGGTAGCAGTCTGACTCGTCTCGGTACTGCGGCAGTTGGGGCCGTCCTTGCTGGTCGCACCGTTCTTGGATATCGTCAAAGAGGTCGCCGACAGGGGTGAAGTAGGTCACGCGGGGGCCGGCCCCGAAGTACTTGTTCCGTCCCCAGAGTTGGCCCACAAGGGCATTGGTGTCTGCGTCGACTACCGCAGCACCGCTGTCGCCTTCAACGCCGATGCCACCGCGAATCCATGCTTCCTCGTCATCGTCCGGGTCTTCGATGAACCATTCGCGTGTAGCCTTCCCTGTACCGTTGTCCTCTCCCCTGACGTAGGCGGGCACCTCACATACCTGTCCGCGCTGTTGGCCAGATGTTCGACCCGTGGAAACAACCGCCCCGCCTGGGACGACTGCCGATGTGGTCTTGATGGGTATCTCTTTGAGGAGGGGCATAGTCTCTGAGGGGAACCGGCGAAGAATATTGGCTTGCTTAGTCTTTGCGGCGATCAGGATCCAGTCCGTCACGATCAGAGGCTGTTCTTTCCCGCAGTCTTCCCAAAAAGGGTCATGTGAGATGCGGGTCGTCTTGAGGTCGATGCCCGATGTTGCCGTTAGTTTACCGATGTTGAAGTCTTTGGATTCGTCCATGGTATCGTGGCGTTCCTCGATGCAGCGAGATCGGTCGCTTGGTGAAGGATGTTGCACGCTGACTTCGCTTAGGTGTTGGTACGCGTCGACGAAGGGATGGAAGTTGGCCAGCCAGTAGTTTCCACCGCCGATGACTAGACATGGTCCCAGAGTTGAGGTACTCTCCTCGAAGTCGTCTGTCCCCGCGATGCCGATGCTGTCTCCCATACACGGGTCCTTGAAGTAATATGGGTTCCGGGCCATGCAGATGTCGTCTGGCATGTCCTTGCTCAACCCTCGGGCCCAGACTAGACGTTCCACGGCGCCGATGGAGAATTCGAAAGATACTGTTGGGCGGTAGATCTCAGGCAGAAGATCTTTCACGTGGGTTGCGATGATAATCCGTCGTGCTCGTGATGGTTGCTTCTTAGTCATTATACAGACGCGACGGGAGCCGGGAGTCTTGCCGCGGGTGACGCTGACGACGTGGTTCGGGCCGCACCACTTGGGGAGAAACTCGACTAGAAAGGGTAGAATGCCATGCTCCCAGACCATGGGAAAGCTGGCGCTCTCAATCAGGCGGGAGATTACCGCTCGAGACGAGTCACTAGGACTATCGGCTGCGCGAGGTGCTTGGCCTATGGGGGTCAGACGAGCGTCTCGCATGTCGGCGTTTACGTACCGTTCTGCCTTTTACGCTTCTTTTCCACAGCTGCTCGCAGCTGTTCTCGACATTTTTTCTTGGCGATCGTGACGGACAGGCTTTGCCTAGTCGCCTTGTCCTCCATGGCATCCTTTGGATTTGGAGCCGTGTTGGTGGATGGTTGTTCGGCGGACTTTTCAACAGTCATGACAGGTACCATCGGCTTCGGGACTGACTCGACGGCCTTCCCATTGCCTTCATTGGCGTCAGGATGTGCACATCTGATGTGGCACTCCAAGATTCTCTTGCTCTGGAAGGAGCTCTCGGTACATCCTGGCGCAGGGCAGACGAGAAGGTGCTCTAACTTGACGTGCCAGGTCAGTCCTTCCTTGGAGGAGAACGCCGGCTGCTCGCAGCCTCCCCAGTTGCAAATGTGTGTGTGTGGACCGCTTTGAAGTGGCTCTTTAGCTCCTGCTCCCGGTCGAAAGCCTTATCGCAGTGCGGGCCGAGGCAGACGAATCGGCTTTCGGCACGCTCCACTGTCCGCTCAGCAGGCGATGGAACGCGGGAACGCGAAGCTGACGTTGGAGCCGGCCACTCAAATGGAAGCTCAGTCTGGGATGGAGACAGCCCGGAGCCTGCCGATGATGGCTGGGAAGTGGATGAGGACGAGTAGGTGACGCTGCTCACGGTGCTCAACGCCGGCGGAGGTGCCTGAGCAGAAGCAGGCTGGAACATGTCAAGTCCTGGTTGGCTGTCTGTAGGCAAACTTTTGATAAAGCTTTGGTCGAGATGCCCGAGTCCCTGGCTCTGGGACCAGGCATTGTCTCCATAGATGGCTGGTCCGCCGTACAGCTGCGTATTAATGAAGGGTTCGTCCGTAGGCGGCCAATAAGGCGGCAGCGAGGCGGGTATTGGCACCGCAGGAAAGGGCGGGCCTTGGTGGATGTGTTTACGGATCTTGTATGGCCGCTCACCGAGAGGATGTTGGCGCCTGGATTGGGACATGGTGAGATTTGAGAGAGGTCAGCCGGCGTGTAAGCCAGGCTGGAAGCTGTGATGAATGGTTCTCACTCCCGCTGGCGAATCGATTGACAGGCAGAATATGGTTAATTGAAGGAGAGAGCCCGAGAGTTGAGGTGTTGCCGGGAAGGCAAGATGTTGAGAACAGCGGGGGAGGACGACGGGAGGAGCTGGGCGGCGGCGGGGAGGGTGGGAAGGTGGTGGTGCGGCACAGCTAGTCTGGTTGCCTGATGAGGGGTATACAGTGCCTTGACTCTAATCCCTGCACAGTGAAACGTGTGGCGAGATCATGGGCACACACAGTAGGAACAATCACTCCCACTCATTCAATACATATCTTACAATCCCGGCGGCCTCATCCGGGGTCAGCATCCCACGAATCATGCGAACCATGACTACTGTGGCCTGCTTCAGATCTATCGACGTTAGATTTCCGTTTTTGTTCATTGCCGAGTTTTTGGTTCCACTGGCGAGCATCTTAGCGGGTTGCTTTCACGAATCTCTCCAATTTCGACTGGCGATAGGCAATTCGCAACGGAGGAGCTGAGCGATTGGGAGATTCAGAAAACCACGTTCATTCAACTACTGTATGTACATGCTGCCCTTCCTCTCACCCTGATCAATTCATCGTAAAGATCATCTTGCCGCAAATCGTCTGCCAAGCCAGTCTGAAAACATGGCGACACTGTTATCGTGGCAATCACGACTTGTGCCACCTAAATCATCCAGGCGGCAAACGAGACAACTCCGACAGTGACAACTGCCAATCGTCGCATAGATCCAGACAGGTTGCTGGCCGCGGAAGTCGAGCTCGAGCCGCTGCCACCAGAGGACGAAGACCCAGACCCAGACCCAGACGAAGCCTTCAGAGTAGCCTGCCCAAAGTCGGCCGAGAGCCGCTCGCACCATAGTCCGACGGTGGAGAAATCAGCCGGCGTCTTCCCGGCATCGAGCTTAATGGTGAGCGTGTTGGTGGACGCCGCCTTGGTGACCTGCTCGTTGGAGATGCGGAAGCCGTTCTTGATGACATCGTCGGTGGCACCCCACCAGTAGAGTGCAGGCGCCGAGGCATCCTTGAGGGTGTAGTCGCTGATCATGAGAGTTGAGGCGTCAATGACGGTCAATGTGCCGCCGAGGCCGCCGTCGAGAGAGGAGAGCTTGCCGGACCACCCAATCTTCTGGGTCATGGTGTCGTTGCCCTGGCCGGAGACGAGGGCAGTGAAAACGGCAAGGCCGGTGAGGAGGACTGAAGTGCTTTGGCTGAACATTGTTCTGAGTAGAATGTGGTTGAAACTAATTGTGAAAAAAGCGTAAAGTTGCTAGAATGTTTTGTTGTGAGTGTGTTCTGAGTGATGAGTTGTGGCAATTACCTATCGAGGCGGGCACGTACGGAGCTTATATACCGAAAAGACTTGGACTTCTTTGGAATCTATTCGATCTTCTTTGTGACAGGACCCTCAAATCCAAGCATCCATGAATGTTGATGTGTAATCGGGCCAAATCCTTTGCAACTTTGACTCTTGCCTAATTAGGAAATTCTGATGATTTGTGGTGATGCGCTAGCAGCAGGTACCCGAGCTTAAGCTTAAAGTGCGCAGTGGCTTGCGTCCTTCAAGTCCAAACGGCGCACGTCCATCTTCGCCTTGCGCGTGACTGACATGATGAATACCGACAGAGATCAGGTTGTCGCGAAGAAGTATCGACGAAACTGAAGAAGAAGACCCGTAATAGTCGTTTATGTAGGGATGGATTCCATAGTAGAGTTTTGGCCTTAGCTTTTGTGACTTTACTCGAGTGATAATAAGATGCGCCTTTAAACTCTCTAAATGGACTGAAAAGCCGTAGGCCTTGGTCTCTGATGATTGCAAAATAGAGACTCTTGTACGTCCATGGAACTCTCCAGTACGGGGCCCCTGGGTAAGGCAGATTCCATGCCAAATATCTTGATTATGATATCAGACGCTGAGGCTGTATTTCCTAAACCTTCGAATCAAAGTACCTAAGACTAGTAAATGAATTCAGTGCACTACTTGGAAGCAAGCCACATTGTGTTACGTCCAGGCTTCTGTCGCCGCGGGCGCTGCGGACGATGCTCCAAACCCAAACGCGCCTCCCTGACACTAACTGTATTGGGAAAGCTTGATCCATCATCACGCCCAACAGCACTCTTTGGAAGTTTTGATCCCTCATCACCAGCCACATGTCAAAGCCATCATTCAGCTTGCGGATTACAAGTGCCTGCAGCTGAAGACCCAACATAATACATAAGCATAATAATAACCACGACCTCAGGATATTGGAACATCATCTTGAACCATTATACATATTGCCTTGAACTCATCAATTGTCTCACTATTCTGATTTTGAGTAAACTCATTATTTGCGATAGCATCACTAGTCGCACAACATGGAAAAACCTATCATCCAAGATCAATACCTGGCAGCGAGGGCCTACTTTCTCTGTGTCATTGGAATTCTTTTCCTCGAGAGCATCATCCGGCTTCCTGCGCGGTTTCGCAGCTTGACACATCGCGGTAAGCCTTTCTAGCTGTATGAAAGACATGTTACACATATACTGACATCCATGCCCAGGCCGCCCATTCATCAAAGCATCATCATCAGGCCACACACGCTTAGGTGTAGCTCTGCACAAGCTATTGACTCTCCCATCGCCCATCCCCATCCTCACCAACCATCATGCCGCCAATTTCCTAAGATTCGCCGTTCTTCTCGGCCTCAACATCTTATTCGGAGTAAACGACAACGAGTTCACCACCGACTTCAAACTCTACGGGTGGCTCACAATCGCCAACGGCGGCATTGCGCTCCTCCTCGCCGCACGGACAAACCTCTTCTCTATCGTCGCCCAGATCCCATCCCCGGTTCTTCTCGTCTACCACCGCTGGATCGGCGTCGCCACCATGGTCCACGCAAGCATCCACTTTGCCCTGAACACCCAGCACTACATCGCCACTGACCAACTTGCTGACTCGTTCTCCAACTTGCGCATCCAAGTCGGCGCCATGGCATGGGCGTCCCTCGTCCTCATCTCCCTCACCTCGGTCCCCATTATCCGCCGCCGATTCTTCGAGGTCTTTTACTACTCCCACGCCCTCTTCTTCCTCTTCGTTGTCGGCGCCCTCATCCACGCCACCAAAGGTCCTGAATTTCTCCTACCCGGGCTTTTGCTCTGGGGTTGCGATCGCTTCCTCCGATTCTACTACAACTTTCGCTCGATCAACACGACCGCTGTGCAGAATCACCACGGAGACGTCGTCAAGATCAAGTTCAAAGGGATGAAGCCGCGGCATCCGGGCCAAATCACCTGGGTCCAGATCCCAAGCGTATCGTTCCTCAACTGGCACCCCTTCACCATCGCGTCTGCACCCCGCGATGATGATGCGACGCTGGCGATCAGAGGGCTGGGCGGGTACACGAGGAAAGTCCAGCGTATCGTCCCGGGTGATGGAGAGACGAGCAGCGAGGACGTGACCACGTGTCAAGCCATGGAACCCAAAATGGGAAAGCTTCGCATACGACTGGATGGACCGTACGGCGTCGGCCGAGTCTGTTGGGGCGAGCAGCCGCTCACAGTCCTCGCTGCCGGCGGCATTGGCATCACTCCCGGCATCAGCATTGCGACTCATCTCATCAAGCGAGCAGCATCTGCCGATGCCTATGCTCTGCAAGGGAAGTCGTGGCATATTCACGTGTTATGGGCCGTCAAAGACGTCGAGAGCATTGAGTGGTTCGGCGACGAGTTGAGAAGTCTTGCTTCGTTGGCTGCCGATCCTGGTGTACCTGCGACTCTGAATATTTCGATTTACGTCACGGGCAGAGGAGCTGTACGGGCGGATGATGGGGAGGACGGGTTCGCAATGGTTGGCCGACCCAGTCAACATGACGTTCCAGGAGAGTTGAGGCAAGGCCGTCCGGATGTGCTGGGATGGTTTGAGGGAGTGAGGAGACTGCACCCCTGTCTGGACGCAACCGTCAATGTTTGTGGTCCCAATCAACTCATCCGGGATGTCAGGATCGCAGCATCCAAGGTCAGCTCTACGAAGAGTACGTTCTACGTTGAAGAGGAAGTGTTCGAGTTCTAGTCGTTGTTGACGGCGTGGCATGTTGGGAGACAGCCCGTTATCGCGGGTTAGTCACGGAATTGGAATAAAGTGCAGCGTTGATCATTCAAGCCAAACTTGGACAGGAATTTTTCATGATCAATTGAGCTTTAACCAAGGTTCTGTCTATCGAGAAAGTCTTTGCCGAGCGCCCATTGCTTAGTTAGGGCAGCTGACGGTGTTGCCGCTAATGGTGCAAGTTTGGCCAAGCTTCTGATGGCAGCTTCCGGAAGTGCACTGTCTGATGTCGTTGCCCTCGGCACAAGCTCCGAGCTGGATGCAGGTTGCGGCCTACGAAAAGCTTTAGTTATTGACCGTGATTCGAATTTGGGCTTGACACTTACGGATGCCGGAACTGCGAGGGCGGCGGCGAAGGCGAAGACGATCTTGAGGAACTGCATCTTGATAGATTTCCTCGTACTGATTAACAAATGGTCGTAGAGTGAACTTATGTTGGAAGGATAGGTCTGAGTGATTATAACTTATCGACTAGCTGTTGCGGGTATGCCCTCTTTATACTCCATCCTCTTAATGTTCAAGGATGGCAGCATTGGCATTCAAAACCATGCAACCAAGCCCGGCGAATGTTGTCAGGGTGTCTGGCCCTTGGCAGCCTGCACATCTGCCTCAAGTCCTCGATAGCTACCAATAAAACTAATGGTCATTTTCAAACTCTAAACGGCGACATCAGCTACTGCTTTTCCGGGACGACCGAGATTCAGGTTGTCTGAAGAAGGACTTTGATTGAGGTCTGGGCACTCAGCTAAAGTTTGCAAGAAAGCCACGGAACTCGCGGACAAGACCATGACCCGAAGGACCAAGTTTGAGATGGTCTGTCGGCCAAATAGCTGAGCCGCTCAACCTTTTAGTCTCAGAATTCAAGAGCCCCTTCGACTTAGTCGGATATTCGGTCTCGGTTACCGTATCCAGGGACCAGGGCGTTCATCTGAAGCCCACACCATACCGAAATAGACTTTTGTGTCACCAGGCGCCAGTCAGAGAAGGGGGTGATGTTGGAATAAGACACCGGCGGGGTCCCCGCCGAGCGCCTTGTCCGCGCGGGTTCCGGAAATTTTGGTCGGCTCAAATATCCGTGGAGGCCGTGGGAACCCTGGATCCCGTGGAAGGGTCTCCCATGAATCGCGGATCTGCATATCTGGAATCATCTATTCTGAGAATTACACGAGCCATTTGGCAGCATGATGCCTCAGTTCGTCTCTATTGAATCAGGTTGTCCTTGGTTGGGTGTCAGGGCTAGACTGAACTATTATTCGCAAGGGCTTGGGGCTGAAACCACCCGCCTCCATATGTGCCTTTGGCAGGTCTGATGTCTTCTAAAGCTGCAAGCTTCTACATACAACAATTTAACGAGTCATTGCGGCATTGTGCGATACTGAGAAGTAAGCAAAAGTAATCAAAGCGAAACTGCGAGAATTCTCGCTTGGGACGTAATTGAGCATAACAAGAACAACGCAAGAGCCAGAACCATCAAAGAACGAAGATATCCAGGACATCAAAGTGAAATGAAACTTTTCATTACGAGTGAATGAATATTTGGATCCACAGACTCGATAGACGGAGACAATATCAAGACTTGCAATGGATAGTAGCAGAGACTGACGAGAATAGTACCCTATATAAAGTTCATCAACGCGAATTTTCGATCCATCGAAACAACGAAGAAATATCTATCCGAGTCGGAGAGTGATAGAATAGACTCTGTTGCTGCCCGTTAAAAGATGACCACGTATTTCATCGAGCAAGACGACAACCAACAGGCAATTGATTACCTTCAGCGACAAAGTTCATGGCGAAAGCATAGCATCCAAATCGTTCAATGCTGTGTAATTTTACATCCATTCGTGATATCAAATTTCGAGATCGAGAGGCGTTTTATCTAAGCTGCACTACTTCACACGCTGGCGGTCTGCAAACCCAAGTACGCGAATGAGACATTGTCGCGTTAATTGGCCGCTTATCACAGGAGGAGCGGGGGAGGGTACACCACGTCACACACGCATGCAGTCAGCACATCACGCAGGGCGAAGATTGCTCGAGAAGAATTTGCCGAATAGGCATCAAAGCTCCAATCCCCCTCACAAAAACAGGTCGATGTTGCATATTTCCCTCACCGGACTCCGGTCAACAACATAAAACAGAGACACCTGCGCCACAGCGCTTTTTCTTAGGAAATCTCGTCATCTGGAGCCGGCCAGAATCTTTGTCTACTATGGAGCCTGCTGAAGTCGTTGACAGCCTTCGTGGCTTGGTGGCCGTCGCCGACAATGCATTCCGAAGCACATACGATTTTGCGAAGGACAAGATTGACCCGTTCATGGACATCAAGAGGCGAGACGAAATCCGCCGCGTTGCAACCGAGATCCAAGATCTGGCTGGATTGCTGCATCGACTCACTTTGGTGGCTTCCACCTTTGACGAAGATCACAATCAGGTCCTTGATGATGTTTATGGCCTCCGCTCACCGAAACTACCGCAACAGGTATTCACTTGCCGACAGACACTGATAAAGCTCGAGGCGAGCTTAAGTCGTAGGAAGCTTACCTACGATGTCATAAAACAGGAAGAAGATCTCAAATCACGAGCAAAGCTGAGATGGCCCTTCACGACAGCATGGACCGTTGACTTGGTACAAGAAATTGGTCAACACAAAGAGGCTGTTACTAGAGCTCTCCCCTCCAACTCCATGAACGAACTGCTGCAAAGCTTTTCTAAAGGGAAAAATCGACATTCTCCAAATCGCAGAGAAGTCATCAGAAGATTCGTGATGGGCCGCTGCAGGTACTCAAAGGAGAACTCCACCGTGACGTCGTTCTTCGCAAGGGTTGACCATCTTGAAGTCCTTGCGCGGACTGTCAGCAAACGAACCAACTGGACAGAGTATGAGATGCTGGAACATGAACCCATCCGACGCTGGATAGACCACGGTAATTACAACGACAAAAGCTCCCACCTTTGGATCACAGGCGGCCCTGGAGCCGGTAAGACGACCTTTGCCGCCACGCTCATCGAAACCGCGATGCATATACACTATTCTGATCAAGCCACCGCGGTAATCTTTGCCTTCTGTCGATTCTCAGACCCCCGATCCTACGAATGCTTTTTTTTCCTCAGCACTCTTCTTGCCCAGATTGCCGTACAGCACCCATCGGCAATGACTACACTCGGGAAATACTACTCCGAGTTGCGAACTCGAAGACTAGTCGAAATCCCGACTATAGAAAGAATGAAGGCAGTATTCTTCGCTATGACGAAAGTATTTCGGCAGATTCTATGTGTCGTTGATGGAGTGGATGAGTGCCCTGACGAGGGCGATGCCGTCACGCAATTGATGGCTTCATTAGCTTCAGGATCTGGCAACTTCAGATTAGCCATGGTCTCGCGCTATCGGCAAAGAATAGAGACCACTCTCAAAGGTAGCTTTGGCGAAGCGCTTTGTTGCAAGGAATTTGAGCCCGACAGAAACCAGCTGGAAATGTTCGCCGCCACCGAGATTGAGAAGATGGCCATGGGGGCGAATTCAGTCTTCCATAACTTGCAACTGAAAGACAATGTCATTCAGAGCTTCGGTCGTGTTAACAACCCAAGGTAGGTGATGTAACCTTAAGCTGTCGGAGAGTGCAAACTGACCAAACAGAAGCTTCCGGTTCGCATCTTGCTCCATCGAGTATATCGCACGATACGCCACGACGCAAAATTTGCACGAGATGTCGAAGACACTTCCGCAAAATCTGGAAGGGATATACAAGCTGACCCTCCAGGGCTTCAACGAACAACCGGCTTCAACCAAAGCTCTGATTCAATCTGCTCTTCAGTTGACCGCGTTCTCGGACCCTCCACTCACGAGCCATGAGATTTGCCAGGCGTTATCGGTGGCAGGCATACCCGGGCTGGATGCCGATGAGTTGCAATACCCTGAAGTCGATGAAAATGAGATCACGGATTCATGTGGCATATTCCTGACTAAGGCAACCCACGGAGAAGAATTGGGGCTAGCACACCATACGATCAAAGAGTTTCTGGAACAAATCGACCCGACTGACTCGGAATTCGCGGGATACCATCTGTCCAAATCTCGAACTCGGCGCCTCCTTGGTATATGTGCGCTTCGCTTCTTGTGTCTCAATCACTTCGCACGGCTTCCCAAAAGATTGAACTCTGAAAACAGCTTCATGTGCAACAGGCGGAGGCGACTACCATTTTATCGATATGCGGCTTTGGTTTGGCCCCGACTAGCAGACGAGCTTTGGGACGACGAGGAGTTCAGACAACAAGCTATGGAACTTTGCAACCCCGCGCAAACCTCGAACTTCAAAGCATGGTCCTTAGAAGTCTGCCACTTCTACCGCCTTGGAGGCTCCTGGAATGGCTGGGTCAACGATCGGTTCGAAGACAAGCCTTGGAGTGTGGGTACTCACTATGGGCGCAACAGGTGGTATAGCAGCAGTGATTCCTTGTGCTCTGAATCCACGGAAGCATGTACAGGACCGTCCGGGTCCCATTGGGGCACATCAAAATCCCCGGCATCATCAGAATCCCCGGGTTCAGAGCTCTCGAGACCAGAGGGACCCACAATACCAGAGGAGCTCTCGAGCTCAGAGGAATCCTCGGGATCAGAGGAAATTTTCGAAGCCGGTAGATTAAGATCTTGGCTCTGGAGACAGAAGGAACACACAGACTGGAAATGGCAAGAAGGTCAAACGAGACGTTTGGCTCATTTTATTCGACGCGGCGACTTCACAACGCTACATATGGCCTGTCTTTTAGGGTTGAACCGTCTTTGCGATTCTCTGCTCGCAGATCAGCCTGATGTAAACCAAATGAGTCGGATAGGCTCACCATTGCAATGCGCTCTTGGAGGCCCGTTCCTCATTGCGTGCCACGATCTATCTACCAGGAAGACGAACAGAACATGGAATAGGATATGTGCAGCGGAGAAGCCTTCGATAGAGCTTTTGCAGACTTTGATCGAAGCTGGAGCTGATTGCACAAGACCTCTTCCAGCCCAGTATTCGTGGAACTCCATGGGCGCTCTGGGGCTGAAGTCATCTGAGTGGGCAGGAGACTGTCGAATCTTTGCCGAAATTGTCAAAGGTGGTGCTCAAATGCACGACGACGCCATCTGCACGTTTCGACTAAGGTGCCGGGAGTGGACCAAGTACAAAAAACAGCAAGCAAGATTAGATGTCGCTGCCATCCTGGAGATTCTTGAAGACATGGTTTTGCGGGGAGAGGCAGAAGCTTCAGCATATCTCACAGCATTCCGAAGTGTTTTCATAGATATGCACGACATCGATGTACCGCTGCCTGCTCTTGAGGCCGTGACGGATGACATGCTTGTCAATAGGATGAAAAAGGCGATTGAAAGTGACTCCCTGAGCACCTTGAAGGAAACCGGCCAAACAATACGAGGTCAACTGGTCCTTCAGGGTGACATGCTGGATGGCCTGCTTGACCACGCGGTGACAAATCTTGCCGCCAGCTGCTTAAGCTTTCTGCTCGATCGTCTGTCTGGGTCCGAAAATGAGAATGTCAAACTGGGAAGATTGCTGCTCAGATGTACGGGGAATCAGTTCGAGGACGTCCTGGTGAGCCTTCTGAAACATGGGTCCAAGGCAACAACCACCGATCAAAAGGGTCGCAACATTTGGCACCTATCGACCGTCGGGCGTATGTCTGGAAGAATCCTTCAGGTGCTGATGTCGACGCATGTCGGAAAGGAAGATCGCGAAATAGCGTTGCATGCGCTTGATAACATCGATGGGCGGACGCCACTGGCCAGCGCCCTCTTTATGGGTCATCCGGACTATCATGGGGCCAACATCATCCTTAAACACTGTCGATCGAGTAAAGACATGTTACAGAGCGCTCGCCCCTCGGTAAATGCCATCATTGCAGGTATCGATTCACCCCAAACCCTACAACAACTTCATAACCGCGGCGTTCTACCCGTTCCAGAAGATGAGACGCCTCTGCATCTTCTACAGCAGAATGTGCGTATAGACGTCGTGAAGCAGCTTCTGGCTATCTATTCGTACCAAGATTCTTTGAAGTGGAAGAGCCCTGTCAGTTGTTACCTAGCCTCAAGCTCATTTTCTACCTACAAAGAGGACGTTCTCAGACTTCTAATTTCCACAGAGCTACTTCTATCATTAGGCTCACACCAGCGGAGCATATGGTCGATGATTATTGACCATCTGTTGGAAGTCTTATCTCAGCCTCCGCCGTCAGGAGTTCAATGGGCGTCGGATTTAGTCGATATACTAGTCGACACGGGTTGCTTGGCAAACCACGAGACAGTGTCTGGGATCTCTGCTCTCAGGGAATTGCAAACCCTCGTCGGTTCCCACCTCCCCGAAAGCCCAAAAATCAAAACCAAACTTGTCATGATATTGGAAAATATCTTAAGCTCTGTGATCGACGCCACGACAGACTACTCAGATCTGAAGGGAACGAGTCTAGGACTACAGCTTCTGCACTGGGCTGTCGTTCACGACTCTGTTTACCTTGTGGACCGTCTCCTCTCACTCGGTGTGGACGTCCATGCCAGAAGTGGTTCCAGGGGAGAGTCTCCGAATGCACTTGAGCTCATCTCCGCTCAGGGAAACAACCAATCCTCCGTCAGGATACTGACAAAAATACTTCAGAAATCAGACAAAGCTCGAATCAACAGTCTCCACCGTTGCGAGAGAGGGGATGAGCTCGCTGGTTTGCTGCATCTCCACGGATGCGCCAAACCTAGACTATCCTCTCCACGAACGCCATTATTCGAATTTTGTTTGCCTACTAAATGGGGTCGTGTTCAGCCAAAACATCTTGGGGGCACCGTTAATCTGCTTGAAACTGGTGGCTTTGCTCGTTTTCGAGGGCCGAGCCTTGCGCGAGTCACACTTCTGCAATCGCTGCTAGATGAAGGATGTAATCCAAACACCTTAAGTCAGCCAAGCAACAGGTCGCCACTGCTCATCCATATCATGGCTGGAAACCTTGATGGCGCAAGGATTCTCCTCAGAAGGGGAGGCGCACCAAGTCTGAGTATCAGCGACGCTTTCGGGTGGACTCCAGCCGCATGGGCTTGCGCCTACGGATGGACCTTTCTCTTAGAAGAAATGATTACCGTCGCCGGCGATCAACGACTTTGGGACTTCGAAGTGACCATGTGTCTCAAGGAATTCCGCATCATGGGCGTCAATTACAAACAGGTGAAAGCCTTACATATTGCGACAATAGGGTCGGCGGAGACGGTAGCATATCTGCTCGATCAAGGATACGCGACTGATCTTGACATCACTACATCAAATGGGACGACTGCGCTACATATAGCCGCAATTCTTGGGCAGCATGATTCGATCACCCTCCTCATATCCCGGGGTGCAAATATCGATGCTCAGGATCAGGGAGGCTTTACGCCTCTTCACGCGTCTATATATCACAGCAACGACTCAACGACAGCATTGTTGCTGAAAATGGGCGCAAAGCACCTGAAGAGTAAGAATGGAAAGACCCCGTTAGACATTGCCATTCATCGAAATACCAAAGCCATCATGCAAATGGTGCAAGACTCCGTCCTAGCTGCAGCAGCTACTGGGAAAGATGTGGCCTCTCAAGAGAAGCAAATGAAGGCCACAGTATTCGCAGGCTCTATGCAGTATGCAATCGACAGAGATGATGAAGAAGATGTGGTAAAGCTTCTAGATGCGGAATGCTCGCCAAACATCATCATGAGTTCTTGTCGAACCTGCTCCCCTCTTCTCTATGCCTTAGGCAAAAACGACGTCCCTGAAGGCTGTGTTTCAGTTCTCATCAGTAGAGGGGCAAGCTTTAAGGGAATGACATGTCGTCGTCACGGCAATAGTAAACGGTACAACGCGGTTACTTGGCAAGGTTGGCAAAGGGGCTCAAAGATTCAAGATGGCAGTGGCAGTTCATCATCTGATTCTTTGTCCTCCCCATCTGAGGGCAGCACTTCAGATGATCAAGCGTGGCCTTTCGTGGTTCCACAACACTCGATTTCTTTATGGATGGCGGGAGACCCGAAAAGACCCTCCTTACCTATTTGGAAGCTATTCCCCTAACAGAACTCGTCTGGCTCGTCAATAATTCGGCCACAGCACATCGGGCCATTAAACGAAAGTCTAACGATTCTTTGGCGGCCTTACTTTCGCATTTGAAGCGAGTTGAGTCTTCTCTTGGTCGCAATTTAGCAAAGGAGGTAGCCACACAGCCGGAAGGCGAGAGCGGCAACACCCCCTTACACCTAGCGGCAATCAAGAAGAATGTGGTCGCGGCGAAGCTTCTTATCGCGTATGGAGCGGACCCAGACGCCGCAAATTCATCGGGCATGACCCCTTTGCACCTGGCGGCGGATCGTGACGGTGCCGCGATGGTGGAAGCTTTACTCGACCAAGGTGCTTCGATCGAAGTTAGAGACGGCCGAGGTCGCACAGCGCTCCAGGCAGCTGTCCTCAAAGACAACATCCACGCGATAGAAGCACTGCTAGCCAGAGGGACGCGGATTGAGGTCAATGACGGAGGCAATAGGTTCATATACCTGGACAAAATCAAGCCATTCCGTATGCTGCTGGCGGCAGGCATGAGTATCAATCAGCCAGGGGCCTTAAGCCTCCCTGTTTGGTCGTCTGCCCTGCTCAAGGTCGAGGTAGCGACATTTCTTCTCAACTCGGATTTCGCTCGAGACATTGCTGTTGACCCTCAAACGATGGTACTCTGGCCTTCCTGGTGGCAGGTACAGGTTTTCGAAAAAGAATCCAGTCGGCGATGCCTCCCACTATTTTACCGGCGCCTGGGTCCTACCTTCTTGCGAAGGCTGGGCCAGTTTGAAGACACAACGAGTGAGAGCCGAAACTTCAGCCTCCTTTGTTTTGCGGCACAGCATGGCCGTGTTGATGAAGTTAGAAATCTGTTGAAAATGGGACTGGATGTGGAGTGTGAAGGGTCAGCTGCAGGAACAGCATTGATGGCTGCTGCACATGAAGGTCGAGCGGATGTGGTGAAGATACTGGTCTTTCACGGTGCGAGAATACATTACAAGCGGGCAGAATTCTGGGTGAGCGCATTGGATTCAGCCAAGTGCTTCCCGAAAATCGTTGAGTGGCTGCTTGTTGGTAGGTTTATTGAGCAAGGAAAGCTTCAGATGCCGGCAGAGACCTCAAGCGATTTCACAGCCGGAACTCGACCTTGGAGTGGTGTGCGCCGGGGTGTCTTCTTGTTGGAAGGGAAGTTCCAAAGAAACACGAATCAGTCAAGCATCAAGTGGCTGCAAAGCTTACAGAGGGTCAAAAGAATGATGCGAGGAACGGTGGCAGTCTCCGAACTGTGGATACCGGCGTTGGGCTGAGTAACGGTGATGAACCTACTAGTTATTCACACTCGGTATCTCCCTTCGTCTCAAATGATTTTTGACCAAGAGAATATGAATACGATTGAATAAGCCGAATGCAGAGTACCACCCGCTCTGGAACATGCCCAGATATGCTCATACTGATGTTTGCGGGACCGTGGCGCCCGCTAATTCCACGCCTGAGACATCATCTTGACCTCCGTGGCGGGCTGAGCCGGGCGGCTGCAGGTGAGCGGCTGGATTGCATAAGTGGCATATTGCCTCATTCCTGCAAAACAGATTTACCCCAAAGCGGTGCAGTCGCGTCTGGTGTCGATGGCGCCACGGCAACCTCATCTCAGGTGAACATCAACCCCCGGACGTCTCCCAGCTTCTAGCTCGCAGCTTTCACACTTAGACGTGGTAATATCTCCCGTAATGAATACCGACGGATGCGCCATCGACGGCAATGGAGATTTATACGGCCTTGGCGTGCGCATCGGCGTCTACTGCCAATGGGTCTCGTCCTGGATCCGCATGCTGGTGGACGAGGAGAGCATCGAGGATGTCCACGGGGTCAACGCCATATTCGTCTTTGCAGTCATCATCGCCACGATCTTGGCGCAGGTCCATCGCGATGTGAAGCCGATAGAGTTGTACATCATGCTGCAAATCTCTCTTGGTTTCTTCATCACGGTGCTCAGCACGATAGGAGTCCGGAATCACTTCTTGCGACCGAAACGAGTCAAGCTTATCTGGCATCACTACCAAAAGGTCGTCGAGAAGCGCAGGCAAAATGCGGAAATGGGGGAGAAGATTTGGAGTCGCCATCGGTTCAAGCAAATCTTCAAAGAAGAGCGAGAGAGGAATAATGTTGTCAAGGCGTTCTACCAGTCCTTATTTAGGATGGGCCGCGAATACCTCGAAGATGCCGCTGCGAAACAGTATCTTTCCAACCCAACTTTCGAGGTCCCTATCGAGTACCTGACTCCATTCAAACCTCGTAACATTTCATGGGTTGGAGTTGTATGGAGGACGGCCATTCTCGGTGTCGTGGCGGGCTTCAACGTTTATTTCTGGTTCTACATCGCAAACCAACCGAATGCTGATGACGGTTGCGGAGCCCCGTTTCTTTTTCTCTTTTCGATGCAACATATCAACAAGCCTGTGTTGGTTCTTTCGCAAGTTGTCGCTATCATAGTTGTCATTGTGGTTTTGCCTTTATGTCTCTTCCTAGTATCGGCGGCGGCTTTCCTAGTCACTCTTCTAAGCTTCTGTGCCCTACGCGACGTGGTTTACTTGGTCATTCCGAGGTCGACCAGAGTTACCAAAAGTCTCCGATCAAGACTCCTCCCGTTTTTGGAGCGAGTGGAATATTACTTGAGGGTTGGGGAGTTCATTCTTAAACGGACACCGAGCTTTAGAGTGTTTGTGTCTGTTATTTGGCTCTTCATCCTGTCTGTCCAGCTTCTGTCATTCTTCACGAAACTGTCGGATCCCCATAGTGTGAGCATTCACGATTCTGTCAGGGCTGCCATTTCGCTTTTCACGCCGAAGCAGTATGATGATCGTGGCGAAACCGACTCTGCAGTCTTGGCCGAGTGCGAGACCCATGGGGAACACCAACTTGGGTGAGTCTTATTGACCCCTGCAAGAAGTGATAATTACTGACGTTGACATTAAGCAACTCCGTTTGCTTTTATCTAAGCGTCACGTGGAATGTCCTAGTGTTCCTAAGCATTTTATGGTTCATCCTGTCCATCGAACTTACGTTGGGGTGGAACCATGTCCAAGACATCAACGAGATTAAGACAACAGGTCAACTGATTCCCTTCATCATTGGATGCGTCAGTACCTGCCAAGTATTGAAGCAGGTCGCGCTGATCGGGCTGCGAAAGGTGGGTGACATTGGGAGCTGCTCCCCACACTCTCTGCTGATGAAGTGTAATAGATGTTCCCGGATTGGGCAAGTTACGAGCTCGAGGCTGCATACACTGCAAGGGGCGGCATCAAGTTCCACATCAACCATAGTCCACGTGATGACGAGGGGATTTCAACGAGCTCAGAGACGCGGATGGCCACGGGCATCGCCTTCAGGGATGTTGGGTATGTTGAGTCGGGTCAGAAGCCGTGATGATGGATGGAGCTGTGTGGGAACGATACTTCCATAGTCCGAGATAGTTGCAAGGGGTTCATTCTTCAGAAGTGCGGAACGTCGCCTTTGATGACCGTGACGGGTAGACGAGCAGCGAGGCATTCCAACTCGGTGACGGAGATGACCCCGTTCCAGACCGTTGGAGATCCGCACGTTACGACGCAGAAAGCAAACATTGAACACGGTGTGACACGAACACACGCAGGCCAGGCTCAGAGTGCCCACGTTGCCGCGTGGGGAGGGAGGTGAAGTTCCATGATGATCAAGGCGTTGAGGCGGCCGACCCGACGCAGTGGTTCAACTGCGGTGTCACGTTGAAACTGTGCGGGCTTTGAGATTTGGCGGGCGTTCCGTCTAGAAATTCGATAATCCTCCCCACGTGCAAAGGCCGAGCGTAACAAAAGTACTGGACGCAAGCGTCAATATTTATTGCAGAGCAAACATTGGCATCCACTGCAAGAAGCAAACATTGGGTTCCAACAGGCATTTGGGAACCAAGCTGTTGGTACCGGGGATGCAAACCATGACGTCCCGATGTCTTACCAACACCGCCAGTTTCACAGAGCGCAACACCGAGGACGTGGTTTGGCTTTTGTTGCTAGAAAAGCCTCGAGTTCTTTTCGCGGCTCTTTCTTGATATCGATGTTTTTGTCATGGCAGTGTTTTGGGGGGATTCTAGAAGAATGTGTTGGTTCAGATCGCTATTTCCGGGCTGCAGTGACGCTGTTGGACGGTGGAAGAGGGGAACGGACGGGGGTTAGGACTCAGGGACCAGGGTTCAACAAAGAACAATGTGGTCAGTGGCTGCGGCACAGCCACCCCTGAACTCCCCGAAGGCCAGCGTCGAGGCCATTTCGAGTCTACGGCCAACAAGTGGGAGGTGGGAGGACGCGGGAGGGGAGGCAAGGAGACATGGAAGAGGGAGGGGAGATACCGGAGTACGTGCCCGCTCACCGCAAGGAACCAGCAGGCGATGTGACAGTGTCTGCGAGTTAATTCCCCTTCAGCTTAGCTCAAGAACAGCGAGAGAAAAGACTTTCAGCAGCAGCTAGCACCAACACACCAACACGCACACACACACACACCAACAGCGGCTGGTCTAACACTCACTCTCTCTTCCCTCTCTTTCTCTCTCATCTCAAAACAAGAAGAGTCAGGGGCTTAGTCAGTGCTTGGAGTGAACAATGTTTGCTTGTGTTCGCCCCACCCGCACGCCGTCTCAATTTCAACATCCAGCCGCCCGCTGCTGATGCTGCTGCTGCATCTCCTCAACCCCCCATTTTATTCTTGTTGGAGAACCGGAAAAGCAAGGTACAGGACCAAGTGGGAAGAAAAAATTCCCAAGAGACACGTCGAAACTGTAACTGTGTGTCCCCGTGTTGCACAAATACCGTCTCACCCCGAACTTTCCACACGGAGAAGAAGAAATCACACACACGGCTCGGACGCTTGCATCTTTCAAGACACACTGTACATAGCCGCGCCGCACTGCACCGCACCGCACCGCAGGACGTTGGACCTGGGACCCTCCATCGCCTGTGGATCTGCACATCATCGACAAGGGAGGGAAGAAGCACTGGCAGAGACAGACGGACAAAACAGCAGCCAGCCAGCCAGCACCGCACACCGAGGAGAGGGAGGACTCGGCCCGCTGCTGACCCCCCTTCTTTTGGTTTCCCCCCCTTCACTCACCGAAGACGCACCGCCAATTTGAAGCCGAATGGGAGTCCCGTGACCCGGTTGGGACGCGCCCCCCTCCGCCCTCGAATCTCGGCCGGGAAGAGAGTTGAGAGTTGAGAGTTGAGAGAGAGACCCCTCTGAGAGTGTGAGGGATCATGAGCGAAGACAATCACCCTCACGTCAACGGAGACGGCAGACGGCACAGCGAGCCCAATTTCAAGCGTCGGCGCGTCACCAAGGCCTGCGACTTCTGCCACCGCAGAGGGCGCAAGTGCAAGCCGGTCACCGAGGGGAGCGGGGTCACGCCCGTCACCGGGCCCGACGGCCAACCCTCATGTCTGACCTGCATCGAGCACAGCGCGCAGTGCACATGGAACCGTGTCGCGGCAAAGAGAGGCGTCAAGTCCAAGACATCGCCCGCGTCTATCAAGCAGCCTCATCAGCAAGGCGAGGGCGGCGGCTCGGACAGGTGCTTTTACGATGAGAGCCGCCATGGCAGCAGAAACCTTGTTCACCGTCTCATATGCATCTTCTTCGACACGGTGTACCCAGTGTTTGTGTTCCCCCGCCTCAAAGTCAACTTCCAATCATTCCCGATTGGGGGTTCACGAGAACGAAGAGCCGAGCGAATTTGCTGACATTGTTCCACAAGGTTTCCCTTTTACGATGAGGCGAGTATCATGAGAGAATGGGACAACACGAGCATGTCCTCCAACCGTGCCGCCTTCGCCCGTCTGATGGCCATCTGCGCGCTGAGCGCCTCGCATGTGCGCGACGGCGCGCTGTTCAACCCGGACATTCCCGAGATGATTCGCGATGAGCACCAGCAGGCCTACCTCGACGACGGGCGGAAAGCCATTCCCGACGACAACCGGGACATTCCCAAGCACGAGATCTTTCAGTACCTCCAGGTCGTCGGCACGCTGTCGCTGGCGGCGATCCAGATCAAGGACGACGTGCTCTTTGAACAGTACCTCGGGCGCTACCACAGCATCGTCGCGCAGGCGCAGTTCCAGTTCGAGAGCAACTGGGGTGAGCTGCCCAGGAACGAGGTGTACGTGCGGCGGCAGTTCTTCTGGTCCATGTACCGCCTCGAGGTTCACTCTGCGCTGATCCAAGGGCACGTCATCCGGTGTCCGGAGTTGCAATGCGGCGTGGCGTACCCGGTGCACGTCGGCCTCTCCGGCGTCCTGGATCCCACGGGTGCAACAGTCGGCCAAACAAGAGGTCACTCGAAGCCCGAGATCTTCTTCCCGGGGAGTTGGCTCACCGGCTGGAACTACATCACCGACCTGTATCGCATGCTGGAGCACGTCATTGTGCGCATGCGTAAGCAGCGTGTGCAGGCGGTGCATACGGACCGGCATGATAATGACATGGATATACTGCTCCCATCGATCCAGGAGATGCTGGACAACGTGTTGAACAGGAAACTGCAGCTGCCGCTGTATGCTTCTCAAGCGTTCCCGTCATCGAATAATCGCGAGGAGAACCTGTGCGGATTCCAGGTTGCTAATATTGCATGTACATATCAAGTGAGTTGTCAATCTTCCGGCGGTATGCATCCTGTTCTAACACTTGTAGCTCACTCGCATGGCACATTTCGCCTGCTTGAATCAATTCGACGACGCTTGCAATGCGGCGATTGACTTGATCGATGAGATTACCAAAGTACCGCCCGAGTATCTTAGAGCGATAGGACATCCCATGGTACGCTCCATCACCCCAGCACCCCACAGCCTTATGTATGAGAGATCCTAACATCACGCAAGCTCCAAGAGCTGGTTGGCGTCGGCCACTTGCTCAGCAGCTTCATCGGGCGCCACCTCACCACACATCAATACTTCAGACTACGAGACGTCATGTACGTAATGATGAACCCTCCCACCGGCTTCTCGCCATGAAACTGACTCTCTCAAGGCGGCACATGGCGCAATTCCTACAGAACTTGGGCTCCTGCCTCCCCAACGCGCCCCAAATATCGGGCAAGCTGTTGGCGTACATCACCAAGATTGACGACGAGATCAAACGGCGAGCCGAGCAGCAGCCGCAGCAGCCGCAGATGCCGGTTGCGACGGCGATTCCCATCACAGAGATGCCGAGTAGTACCGGGCAGCCACAGCAGATTGTGGGGGTGATGCCAGCCAGCACCATGGACCAACATCAGATGCAGAGCGTTCCCTTGTACAACTTTCCCATGAACTTTATGAACAATGTGTTTACGACGGCGTTTAACGATCAACCGGACATTGACTGGAATTATGCTGTCGAGAACTGGACATCATGATAGGAAGGGAGTGGAGGCCATTTGGGACGGACACAGTGTTACGGGGAGTTGACACGACGTGTGGGTTTATATACTCTTTCCATCTTCTTAATAGACGAAATCTGGATTACCAGTGCTAGTAAACATGCTCCAAGTTGCCAACCAATTCCTTGCTTTGCACCGCGCAGTTTCTCTTTGCGTCGTTCGTCCATGTTGTGTCTTCTGATCGCGCCCTTTTCTGGGCTAGCCTAGTCAGAATATTGATGCCGGATCGAACGCCGTCGATTGTCGCTGCGCTCTGTGGAAGCGCCTTTTGAATGCCGTCCTCCAACGCAGCCATGCCCGCGCACCCGAGGATGATGCTAGTCGCGCCATTGTCGATCAGCCGCCTCGCGAAGCTCGCTATGCGCTCGACGACAACGCCACGCTCCAAGCTCTCCAGCTCCAGGACTCCCAAGCCCGTGGCAAGCACACCTGCCGACGTGCCTTCATACCCAAGATCGGCCACAGATTTTGTCAGGATTGGTTCCCAAGCTTGCGCCGTCGTGACGATTCCAAGCTTCCCACCATCTTGGGTCCCTTCCTGCAGCGCAGCTTGGAATATTCCAGTGATGGGGATTATCAAGATCTCCTGGAGGGCGTAGACGAGCGGGTGATCTGAGAAGCAACACACGAGAACCGCGTCAACTGGTTTTGAGTTGATGTAGTCTATCGCCCTAGGCAGGACGGCCTTTGTCGACTGCAGCGCCTGTTCATGGTTCTCGATGCACGGCGGACACTCGACGAGGTCTCGGCCATCGATGAAGGTGATTTCGACGTCGGGTCTTGATGGATGCAGCCGCGTCAAGTCATCTGTCATACCCGTCGTCGATATCGGGATGATGCAGAGAAGCCTCGTAGCTGAGTGCAGGCGCTCCATCGTCTTCAAGAGGGCGGTCGGTCGCGGTCTTTTGACTTCGGGCGAGAGGGCAATTCAGCAGCTCTTTATCCAACAAACAGCACCACAGACCTCCTTTTTGAATTTTGAATCTGTTTCTGAAAAGGTCGTGAGGGGTTATTGAATAGAGACGACATCATTCAACCCGACCGCCCCCGTTTTCAGCGGGGAGAGGTTTTTGGAATTGTTCCCGCCGGCCATGTGCTATTTAACCGCTTACCCGCCCGCCGCGTGTCGAGGCCGGCCCAAAGGCGGCGCCAGAATATGCGCGGAAATATCAACTTGCACTCACACACACACGGCAGTTGGTCATTGGCGGCGCAATTGTCCAGCTCACCCACCCGGCGGCATGGTTCCTCTTACGTAGTTTGGTGGTGAAAGCGTGGCCCTCTGGGTGGATTCACATGGGAGACACATCACATCACATTAGACAACTCGAGGTAATCAGGGTATCTCTTGATTCAAATACGGAAGTAGGCCCTTCTTTCGGGCGTCTTTTTCCAAACTCACACTGTTTCCAACAATCCCGTTCTACCGCCGGACTCCATAAACAGCAAAAACCCACGCTCGCTCGTGACCCAAGGAACAATACCCAAACAACCAAAACATTAAATCAGACCGTCTTATCCTCCGTGGACCCTTGACTCTTGGAGCTCTCATCCATCTCGGCCTCCTTGGTCGGCGACTGCTCCCGGCCATCAAGCACCGTGCCCTCTCTCGGACCGAACGTACCAAAGTAATCCGCATCATCAACCGCCGTCGGACTCTCGATCGGGGCAACGTAGTGAAGCAGGCAGTATGTCACAACCGCCAACGTACACCCCAGCGGCCACGCAAGGTAATATAGATGCGACCACCCGTCCTTCTCAACCGTGGGATCCTGCACCCGCTGGATGAAGCCCGGCAACAGCGCCCAGGTCCCCATGACCCAGGCCACGCCCGCCCGCCAGTTGACGCCCTCCCAGTACCAGTACACGCTCGCGCTCGTGGCCTCGTAGAGGTGCGTGAGCTTCAGGTTGCGGCCGCGGACCAGGTAGTAGTCGGCAAACATGACGCCCGTCATCGAGCCCAGGAACACGCCGTACCCGCCCATCACGGTGAGGAACTTGCTCGCGCCGTTCATCAGCTGCCAGGGCTGCATCACGAACGCGAAGGCTGCGGTGAGGTACCCGCCTCTTCTCAAATTGAAGTACCGCGGCAGCAGCGCCGAGAGGTCGATCCCGTTGGACAGCGCGTTCTCCGCCACAGCAATCCCAAACTGCGCGAAGATGAAGGCCAGACTCGCGAAGAAGACGGCCACGCGCGCGCCGGCCGAGTTATCGTAGTGTGCCTGTAATGCGTCGAGAAAACGGTAGGGCTCCCAGACCAAAGTCCCCTGCGTCTTGGGGAACAGCTGCGCCGCGCAGGAGGTGCAGACAATGCCGATGAAGGCAACTACAATAGTATTCAGCGGGACGAAGAGCAGCTGCGACATGAGCTGGTCGCGCGGCCGGCGCGCGAAGCGGGTGAAGTCCGACTGGCTGAAGATGTGCGTGCTGATGCCGCCGATGTTAGTGCACACCCCCAGCGCCAGCATCCATCCCAGATGAGAGCCGGTTGCTTGCTGGACGCCGGCGGTCGCCGTGATGTCGCGCAGCATCGGGCCCGCGCCGTGCGCCGTGGCCACGCACCAGATGAGCAGCGCGAAGACGGTGGGGATGACGGTGCATGCGGCCACGGCGAAGGGGATGTGGTACCGCTCGGGACGGATGTAGATGAGCGGCAGGCAGAGCAGCGAGAAGATGATGAAGCCGGTGAAGTCGGCGACGGTCATTGTCCCGTTGGCCAGGGGGCGGTCGAGGGCGTTGAAGGACGGCGCCATGGATGATATAAAAGTGCGCACGCACTGTCCGCCCCAGTAGACCTGGGTAGAGTACCAGATGAAGGAGAGCATGATGCGCTGCACGAGCGGGAAGAAGGCGCCGTACATGCCCCACGAGGCCTTTTGCAGAATTGAGAAGCCAATGTGCCACTTTGCTCCCGGGCCGCCGGCGAGCACGCAGATGAGGCCGACGAGGATGTGGCCGATGATGACGGTCAGCATGGCCTGCCAGACGTTGAGGCCGAGGGCGATGAGCGAGGAGCCGGTCGTCCAGCCGCCGATGTTGAACGAGCCCGTGACGACCCAGAGGCCGACGAACTGCCAGGGCCCGTAGGTGCGTCGCTCCGGCGGCAGAGGTCGTGTGTCGCGGTTCATGTAGGCTGTTGTGACGACATCGGTCTCGCGGGAGACTTCGATGCGGCGGAGGAGGCCCGCCATGGGCTTTCGTGAAGTCATCATCACGCAGCACACCTTGATGTCACGCGCGTCGTTGAATGCGGACGGTTTGTAGATGCAGAGGGCTTTCCGGCGTGCCTGGTATACCGGCGCCCGTGGTGGTGGCCGCTGTTGAGCGGTTGATGTTGCTGGAGGTTGCTGCTATCTCGCTTGGTGGTATGTGTTTGCTGGCATCGGTGGACGCGCCGACAAGGAGGCGGGACAAAGGCTTCACGGGTGAGGACCACGACCAGGGGGCGGTGGGCGAGCGGTGAAAACCAGACAGAGACTACCACTACCTAATACCTAATACCTAATACCTAATACCTAGCGGGATGACTGGGATATGAGACGAGGTTGTTTTGCGGGGATTTCTTGAGAGGGCACAGGCACCCAAAGTCGAGAGGGACAAAGGGGGGACGAAGAAGAGGGGGGGCGATGCTTGACCGTAAGCAACTAGACCAGACGAATCTGAGGTGGCTTTTCAGACTTGTCAGACTTAGCTCGAAAGCTTAGTTCCGTCGCACGGCAGCGGCTGTGCGAGAGTTCTCCCTTTGTGATGGTGGAACGAGTCAAGAGACGGGAGAAAGAAACAAGTCACAGTGTGTGTCGAGGTCAATTCGGACGGGGCACGCGGGGCCTTCTTTAATAATCCGGAAGGGGTCATGATACAGACTGGCGATGGCTTCGAGAAGCAGGTTTCGATGATCACGGACGGGACGTTGCGGATTGAGTGGGGAAAACTCGCCGACGCGGCGAGGGACAGGCGATAGATCACATCGGCATTTGACAGTGGTGTTCAAAAGCTGGGCTGGAGTTGAAGCTGACCGTGCGTTCATAGTCACTATGGACAGGGTTCTCTCCATGGAAGGGTGTCCTTGGCTCAGCTGTGACGGGCGACATGCAGACCAGCTCGCGACTCTGAGTTATGAAGCGTGGGATGGTGGCGTTCGTTTGAAACAGGACGATAGGGCAGACGAGCAGCGAGAAATAAGAGATCATCGTAAGACGAAGTTGAAGTTACGCGATTGCCGTGCTGATGTCGAAAGTTGTGCGCCCTACAGAATACAGTTACCGTGTTGACGGATAACCCATGCGGTGTTTTTGTGGTTCCACGCCGTCGAAATCCCATACCCGTGTTCCAGATTTCCAGTTTGCTGGTGAAGATCCCCTGCCACAAGGAGAAATAGGGGTGAGATGGGTCTCTTTCTTCTTCCCGGGCAGCTGGGAAGCCTGGAGGCTGGATGACGGAGAAGAGAGGGGCAATCTCGCGAGGGAAGAGACAGGGGTCGTTTCTCGAAGCGTCCTAGCCTCTGTCGGGACATTGAACATCTTGGCTCCTGGGAAATCATTTTTCTTCTTCTCCCTTCTTTCTCCTTTCCCCCTGGCACCAACCGCATTTTCACTTATTCCATTCTGCCGTTCGCCTTGGCATGCGGGAACGGAATCGAACACGGACCCCAGTTGTTTGCTTGTTTGCTCCCTCGGAGTGTGGAATGTTTGCTCTTCCCCATTCAGCCGCTCACCCGCTCATGGCTGCGTCGGGAACAGCCTGCACAGCACCAACGGCATGTTGCGATTGGCCCCCGTCCTCCGGATGTGACCGTCCATCACAACCTTTATTCGATGGGCACCTTATCTCCGTTGTCGTACGCAAGTGAGGGGGCGCCGTCCGCCTTTACCAGCCCATCGATGGGGCGCGCGAATCGGAGGACCGAGGCAGGCCGAGAGTCTCGATGCTGTCATACCGTGGACCCTGTGGCTGCTCTGTTACGCTTTCCAGCCACGTTTCTATGCCCGGTGTTTTTCTCCCGCAATTCCATGCTCTTGTGTGACCCGGCTTCGTGACCACGCGTCTTTCGCGACCGGCGGTCCGGGGGGCTGCGAGCGGGCTTCCCGAGTGATGAATTGCTGGTCCCAATTTAGCCGCTCAGCAGCCAAGACCTCATTACCCCGCGAGGCCATCGCGACCCGAAGGGTCTTTCGGTCGATTCTTAACACTGTTCGTTCCCGTCCGCTTGGCCTGGCATACATAAAGATGGGAGCTTGGACATTTTTCTTGTTGGTTGGCAGGTTTTTGGAATGATTGCCTGCACCGCTTTCGCACCCCTTTTTATCCGACTATCCCGCATAGCCATTTGGTTGTATCGTACCGTTCGCATCGGACGAAAACTCCTTGTTAATTGCTCAACAGCTGTTGGTGGCTCAGTGTTTGCTTGCTCTTTTGCCCTGTCTAGTGCCTCGCACACCGAGTTTCCTGTATTCGAACCCTGCAACTCGCTGATTCCAGGAACCGGAACGCCGTAACGTCGAAGTGGTTGGTCCAAGGTTGTGTTGTTTGCTCTTTCCCCCCGGCTTACGACCAACACCCCGCGATGGCTGTGGCCGCAGCAGCTGCGCTTCCGGTGGTTGATCTGCGCTCATTCGACTCGGTTGAGGGACTCGCGCAGGAGCTGATGCGCGTGGGCAAGGACCCTGGCTTCTTCTATGTCGTTGGCCACGGATTGGGCGACGGCGTTGCAGCGGACATGTTTGCGCTCGCGGAAACATTTTTCGGCTCACCCCTGAAGGAGAAGTTACGCTTCGCTAATGGGAGCGGTGACCTGGTGAGTCTTTGAGGTGTTGGCTGGTGGTCTAGAGTACCTGCGCACGAGATGTGCGGACTGGGATGGATGCAATCAGCGCCATGGTTAAAAGTCGCTGACCGGTGTTGTCTCGCTAGGGTTACACGGGAATGAGGGAAGAGACGTAGGTTGCATGACCGATCCCCCTTGTAGACCGCCATGTGCTGAGACGTTGCGTTGGGTACAGGCTGTCTGGAGCAGGACCTGGAGATGTTAAGGAGTCGTTCTATCTATCAGACCCCGGGCGGACGAATCAAGTACTTCCCGCGCCGTTGGAAGCTAAGCGAGAGAAGATGGCCGCCTTCTTCGCCGGCTGCGACGAGTTGGCCAAGACTCTGTTGGAAGCACTGGCTGTCGGTTTGGGTGTGAGTTGCAACCAACTGATCGGGATAGAAATGCGCGCGATGCTGAACAGTTTGCGCAGATGCCCAGAGACTTCCTGTCCAAGGCCCACACCGGTGAAAGTTGTCGCATGCGACTCATCAACTATCCCCCGGTGTCCCAGCTCTCGTTCCCTGAATCCGCGCCGCCGCCAGCGTCGCCGAAGCCTGATGACATCCGCGCGGGGGCGCACTCTGACTACGGCTCGCTTACGCTGCTCTTCCGCCAGGCGTCCGACCAAGGGGGGTTGCAGGTGCAACGGCACAGCGCATGGACAGATGTGCCGTGCCTTCCCGACGCTATTGTGGTTAACATCGGGGATGCGCTCGAGTTCTGGACTGCGGGGAGGTTGCGGTCGACGGTGCATCGGGTGGCGTTTCCGAGGTCTGCGAGTGAGAATGTGGGCCGGCTGAGTATACCTGTTTTCATACAGCCTGACCGCCATGTGCTGTTGGAACCGATCAAGGGTAAGGGACAGCCAGTCACGGATGAGAGCGTCATCGACCCGGAGTTCTTGGATGTTCTGAAGAGAAAAGGGTACGAGAGCGCCAAGCCCGTCACGAGCTGGGAACATCTCGAGAGGAGGATAAGGGCGACATACGGAAAGACATGAATGCACGAGAATGGTGTGAGGAGGGCATAGCGCGTCATAGCAGTGTGCTGACTTTCGAAGCGTTGGATTTGCAGAGAGGATACCCAATCCCGTAACATGTTTACCCAGGCATTATGTACATATTTGCATGGTCCTCAGTATATGCAGCAGTCATTGGCTCGTTGTACCGCACTGAACAGCGTTCATATGCCAGCCCAAGACTTTCTTGGATCGAACACGAGGTTGAGCGGCCCAACTGTCAATGTTCCAGTATCCTTGTTATCCGCCAGAAACTTCTCCCCGGTCTGACCTTGCGCATATCTCAGGTTGTACTTGTGCACCACCGCACTGACTACGAAGCGAGTCTCAAGGAGGCCCAGCTGTTTGCCGATACAGACATCATGCCCTTTCTTCGGTTAGACAGTTGACTCATGAACCAATATTTGCAAATGAGAACAGGTACCTGTAGAGAATGGAACGTATACCGCGGGGTTCTTGACAAGTTCTGGTCGGTCAATCCAGCGCTCTGGGATAAACTCATCGGGGCTCTCGAAGAAGCGAGCATCTGGGTCAAAGAACGATTAGTGCCACTTCACTCGATACTCGATGCCTCATAGGGACCTACCGCGGTATTGTGTGTACGAAGGCACGAACACAATCGTGTCCCCGGGAAGCCAGACGTCGTCAACTTGCAGACCCTCCGGGGGCGTCATTCTCTGAACACCCGAGGGCACCGGTGGATGGAGACGCAAAGACTCGTCGATACAAGCTTGTAGATATCGCAGCTTCGCAAGGGGTGCATGCTCCGGTTTGTCATGCTCACGGAAGTATTCATCGACTTCCTTTTGCAGCTTCTTGTACTCCTGTGGATGACGTGCCAACTCCATGAAGAGACACGACAACACAGCAGCAACCGTGTCACTAGAATTGCTTGTCAGCCATAGTTAGTACGATCCAACCAACCAAATCTACATACCTCCCAGCAACAGTAATAAGAATACAGTCGCCGTACAGATTCAACATGTCCTGGAACGAATGCTCTTTCTTAGACTCAAAGTCTTCAAGGACCCACGTGAAAATATCCGGGCTCTCCGGCTTATTCTGAATGCGCTGCTGAACCTGCTGGGAAATCCAACCCTTGAACCTCCTCAGTTCGGCGTTCCACAGGGACATCTTGCGGTAAATCGGCAACGCCCACATGGCGTGCGTGAAACGGCCCACAGCCAAAGTCTCGTTGTGCAGCCCGTCCATGTAAAAGTGCGCAACGCCGTCTTCGAGCATGCGGAAACCATGGCCGAGAGAGAACTCGCCCATGACGTCGAAGCTGTAGAAGTTGAACCAGAGGGATGCATTGAACCGGGTGCCCGCACTCGCTTCGATCCCGGCGAGGAGTTGGTTGGTATACTTGAGTACTCGTGGCTCGTAGTCGCGCAAAGCTGAAAAGATCAGTTCATGTCAAGCTGTGGTATCTGAGAAGCACAACCTTTCGAGGTGAGTCCATACTCCCATGCCTTTCGCCGTCGTGAATGCGCCTCCTTATCTCTGACCATTTGCATCGAGACCATGGGATGGAGCAGGTTGTACCACGGGCCCTTGTAACAGTCTGTCTCGAGAAAGACCGCGTTGATGGCACCTGGCTTATTGATCGAAAGTTCCGTCGGGCCTAGGGACGTTTGAGCATCATGCCGTTATCTGTGAATTGAGTGGTCTCTTACCAACTCTCACAACGTCTCCGTACTTCTCGTGAAGCTTCTTGACGTCTTCATGAAGATGCATCCGATTCCAAATACTGGCTGTTACATACAGGTTCGAGAACTTCGCCAGGATGGGGCCGGGGAACCTGTTTAACCGATGGAAGAACCCACGATACACCACCATACTTGTGTAAATGCCAAAAACAAGAGTCGCGAAGAGCATGCCCACCGCTTTGGACGCATCCGCCAATCCGATTGACTCGATAGGATGTGCGATCCAGGGAGCGAGCATTGGCGCAGCCATAGTCGTTCCCACTGCTACAAGAAATGTTGACAGGAACGCAAGAATAATCTTCTGAGCCGCCAAATCCCATTCGCCATACCGGAAAACAAAGACATGTAAGAGGGTGCCAATGGTAAAGGAGAGCCCGAGGGCCTCCGGAGTTCGGAAAACGTCGCTCGCTAACATCGTGTCACCATTTCCACCGAGAAACTTGTCGGGACATGGCAGAAGGCGTGTCGGGCGATGGAGACAGAGAATTGATATATCCTCGCTTCATTCGTCTGAAGTTTGCATGATTCTGTCTTCATCAGGCAACCCCAGCATGTTTCCCCAACTCCGCCGTACTCCCCCATCTCGCATGAAACTCAAAGTTTCGTCATCCACTGCTTAAAAGCGAATGATTGAACCAAGAGTATGTAGGCTGCATGTTGGAAGAATGCTAATACGAAGTTTGCTAATCACCTGTTCGGTCGTTCGAGCATCTCGTGTATGGATGTCAATATGAATGATGGCGCATACGTTTACAGACACTGACATCAGGGCCTCAGAGATGTCCTGTAAAGTAGAAGCATATTTGATCTCAGTCGGAGGTCCGGGGGGCATCAGAATTGATCGGAGTTCCGATCATTGATCGAGGATAGAAAGCCTATCAACTCATGATTAGGATATCCGTTCTGCTTTCGATATTTACCATGGGGCGAAGATCAATTCCTCAACACTATGCGCATATGCATTGGATAGTGCCCAAGTACCTGGCGAGCTTGACGTACGTCTTTTGGGCGGTATCTGCGCGACAAGCTTGAAATCATCCTGAGCGTCAACCATCCCGAAGGTCTCGAAACCCCAACATTTAAGGCCTGCTCAAAGCCGATGACCAGCAAAGTATCCCGGCTGTCGTTTGATGGACAGATTCCGCCATGCATCCTACGTCTTTATTAATTTTTTTGTTCTTGATTCGGTAGACATCCATAGAACCTAGACCTGAGGAGTGGGTACGTCAAATTGGGAAGTTTTCGCCTCCAGAGCTCAAGACAACGTACAAATCTCCCCAGCAAGTTGGGAATCTCTATGACTTCCCCCTACATTGCAACATTCCAAGTGACTGGTCTATTCCGAATTTTCACTTGTATCGGCTAAGCGCATATCACCCTCCGTCTAGTGATATTTGCTTAGGCTTGAGTCGACCACCGGATGCTCTGGACATCTTCTTGAGCACTCTTTGTGAAAGCTTGTGTAGTGGAGATCTATCTACCCTTCGTGATGCAAGGATGATGCGGGGACTTCCAGTGTTCGCCAACTTCCGAGCCAATTTTAGCTCGCCAGGCGTTGCCGAAATTGCAGACCACGCTAACAGCCTCTTCACCCAGCGCGAATGGGGCGATACGAGACCTCAAGATGGTACTTAGACGAAGCGATGCCCTTTCTAAACTCATCTCGGAAGGCCGACGACTTCCTTCCACCAAAACCACAACCACGTTCTCACAATGCGATCTCCCAGCTTTGCCCGCAACGTTGCGTTGCTGGCTGCAACTATCGCAAACCCTGTATTCGGCCTTCCTGTCGCCAACAACACACAAGTTGCGCAAAGAGTCGAATGGAGGAGTCTGTCGGATTCAGCAAAGGCGGATTACATCAAGGCCGTAAAATGCCTCGACAGCCTGCCATCAAAACTTGGTCTCGAAACTTCGCGCTACAACGACTTTCCTTACGTTCACGCGCATCTCAACATTCAGAGTGAGTAGAGACCTCAGTTGCCATCCATCAACCGCGTCGTCCGTGCGTTGCGACTGACTCGAAGACAGTTCACTTTGTTGCCCAATTCCTGCCATGGCACCGATACTTTGTCCACATCTACGAGACTGCTTTGAGGGATGAATGCAGTTACACTGGTCCCATGACTTACTGGGACTGGACCTTGGACTCCGAGGACATGTCGAAGAGCCCCGTCTTTTCGACCGATGCCACCACAGGCTTCGGCGGCAATGGACTCAACGGCGGCCTTACGTCGCCATCTCGCCCAAATCCGTTGACGATGTGCGTGACCGACGGTGCATTCGCCAACTTCACTGTTCCGTACTTCGATACGACACCAAGAGCGCATTGCTTGAACCGCGGATTCAACGACGGCATTGGCGTCGACAACGGCAAGTTCCAGGGCAAGGCCTACTCCCCTACGAGGATTTCGGAAATCACCGAGACTTCTGGCAACTTTTCGCAATTCGCGACGGCGTTGGAGAACGGGCCTCATGGTGCGATTCACAATTCGGTGGGCGGAGACCTGATCCCCTCAACATCTCCTAATGGTAAGCACCCACATAGATGAAAACTCCTCGGTCGATTTCGTTAGCTGACTGTTTGGAAGACCCGCTCTTCTTCCTTCACCATGTGCAGATTGACAGACTTTGGTGGTTGTGGCAGCAGGAGGCGCCTGAGAGCCGCACGCAAGACTTCTCAGGCATAAGGATTTTGGAGACTGGTCAGGTGGATGAGAGGCCGGCAACTTTGAACGACAATATGCCTATGTTGGGTCTTGCGCCAGATATCGCTATTCAGCAGGTTATGTCAACAAACAATGCCCTGTTGCAGTACAAGTACTAGACAAGACGTAAAAGTAGACCAATGGCTTGCGGGCATCATTCCAGCGGTAAAATAGACGAACTAGTTCACTATCCCATCGAGTGCTGAATGACGCCAGTATATAGGTGTGCGGGGTAGCAGCAAGTCGCCTGTTATTCCGAGAGATCAACAGTTTTTTTAGACCAGTGAAAAGGTTCAATAAGAGACTATTTGGAGAAACTGTGGGTACCTCATGTACTGGCGTCATTCAGCACTCGATGGGATAATTCAGTGCGATTCATTCCATGATGTCCTATGCCTTGTACACTTGTAAGCCAAATTCAATCAGGCGTCTTTATTGGGCATGCGGTCTGTTATGGCGTGCGGTATATCTCAGCACGCTGTTGGTTGTCACGCGCTGCTGATGAGCATTACCCCGCTTTGTGCCAAGATCAGGCATCTGTCGAGACGAAGACTTTCATCTTGTCAAGTTGGAATCTCTCGAGACGCAATATCTCAACGCTTCGTATCGTGCCTGTCCTAGTTGCTCGACGTGATCCAACCTCTCCATCGCTACTACGTGCGACATGATATGCAACGTTTGCCGAGATGGGATAGAGGCAAATGTGCCGAAGGACGTTTTGGGCGAGAGGCGGGGTTTTCCAGTCGTCTGGGCTCATCACTTGACTTGCAGCAGTCTGAAAGCGTCGGTCGAGGCAGCATGCTATATTTGCAACCGAATCTGGATTTGCCTTACCCCGGAGCACCAAGCATATATCACAGGCGTGGCAGAGCAGACGCAAGCTCCTGTCATTGACGGTCTAAGCCATGATATGAACCAGGCTCACATCCATACCTCAAGGCAGAGAATGCTGTCACCAAAATGCAGCTGGAGTGGCATCGGGATCATCGACATGAAAATTTCGAGACCATGACTGCTTTCATAAACCTACGACTAACATATCCATCGAGCATGCTCGCAATGGAATTCAAATGGAACGGTATCGGCAGCTTTCTCATTCAACCTTACGACGGTAATTGGAACCATGGAATCAGTTTTAGATTTACATGAATGTTATGCACATAACTGATATATTGCTTGGAGATAGCCAACTACCTACACCTCGGCCCCTGGCTGAAATTACTTCGTCTAAAGACGCCCTGCTACAGGCCAAGAACTGGTGCGATCAATGCGTCCAAGGCCACACTTGGTGTCAGGCTTCGGCGTCGAACGCAGTCTGGTGGCCCACTCGTCTAGTGGACTTTGGATCATCAGAGACTCCATGTTCTCATTTCCGTTTGGTACAGCCAAGCAAAGAACCACTTATCGGGCCCTACATGACACTGAGTCATTGTTGGGGGCAGGTGAATTGTCTCAAGTTGACTACAGACAACTTAACTGAGCTGTCTAGCTGGCTGCCGGTCACAACTCTTCCGCAACTATACCGAGACGCAGGAGATGTAGCACGACTTCTAGGAGTCAGATACTTGTGGATAGACTCTCTCTGCATGATACAGGACAGAGACAACATGTCTGATTGGCGTCATGAATCGACTATTATGGATAAGGTCTACTCAGCAGCCTTATGCAACATCTCAGCGTCGACGGCCCCTGATGCGCATCATTCTCTGTTCAATGATCGCAAAGCTGAAGCTTACACGTGGCAAATCGTCCAACTCAAGCGACAGGGGAAACATTCAGTCTACCGCATCGTGGATGAAGACATATGGCGAACAGACGTGGACGGTGCACTGGTCAACTCAAGAGCCTGGGTACTTCAAGAGAGACTTCTTTCAAGAAGGATACTTCATTTCGGAGAAAGGCAGATTCTATGGGAGTGCCGAGAGAACAATGCAGCTGAGTTTTACCCCGAGGACGTACCATGGGCTCTCCAATGTCACGTCAATGCATCGCCACGTCGCCTGGCCTCTCTAGATGACGCAAGGTGGCCATTATCTAAGTCCGATCCAATACGCTCTCACGTTCTGCGAGTTTGGAAAGATATAGTCATGGCTTACAGTGGTTGCAAGCTCACGTTTCCTGCCGACAGAATGGTTGCCCTTTCGGCCATTGCCAAGCAAGTAGCTCAGATCTTGGGCGACGAGTACGTTGCGGGCATGTGGCATCGTTCTCTCAAGCATGAGATCCTTTGGAGTGTAGAAAGTGTAGCACCTACCTCGGCATGTCAAGAGTCGTCCTACCGAGCCCCAAGTTGGTCATGGGCGGCCGCAGACGCTCCGGTTACTCCGGCTATATGGGATGTGTTTCCCACGGAATCATTCGTCGATGTTGAGGACTACCACCTGGATTACGTTACTGAAGAATTTACTGGACTTCTAAAAGGCGGTTGGATCCGCTTATGGGGTGCTCTGAAACCCCTACATCTTACTCAAGGTCGGAAATTCCACAAATTAGCTTGGGAAGCTACCATTAACACCACGAAATATCAAACACGATCCGTGTACTTGGACACTTTACACCAGGACTTCGAACTTCAGAACACTCAGTCATCACTGTACTGCATTCCTAGTGCCGTGGAGGAAACCCAAGGATTCAAGATCCTCCTTCTCGAGGTACAAGATCGCAGTAAAGGCATATTTCGCCGCATTGGTATGATTACACACCTTGACGAGGGAAGTCGAGAGCAGATCCTCGGGCCCTGCGACGACGAACACAATTTTCCTTGTGAAGAGTATAGAAATGGTAAACATCTGATACGAATCATCTGATGAGTCACGGATCCTTTCAGTCCCGTCTAGTTTACCCTTCCCAGTCACAATTACAGGTCGATTGCAAAATCAAATTCATGAGTTCGTCTATCTGCAGAATGTGGCTCTTGCTATCAGCATAGAAAAGCTCAACTTGCTTGTCTCATGATCATTGTTTGAATTTCTGCAAATATCATGGTTTCTCACATTACCGGAGACATTTGTCACAGAAAGTATTACCGACAGATTCCACAGACCAAGGGTTTCCTGTAAATAGGTTGGGGTCAGAACATCCTTGCATCGCTCTATCGCAATGACGAGGAGTCATTTTCGAGCGACGACTGAATTGACCAACTGACTGGTATCAATGATAAAGTGTAACGAGAAGTGGCCGAATTATTAGATTTTCTGTTTGATCGAGACGTACCAGAGCCTGAGCGTACTAAAACGAAGGGCTTCATTTAGAGTTGTCCCCGGCTGGCAATTGCGGGTATTGAAGGCATTTTAGCGCGCAAAATACACGGCAGACGCCTGGGATCAGCCCATGTTAACCTGAAAGAGCCTGGGGCACCAGTCAAGCCGGCATGTGTCGCCATCACACCCCGCGAGCACGACATCGACGAAAATCTTTCGTGCTATCCTCTTCCTCACTGACTGGGCTCTTGGCGATGCAATGAGCTGCCTCGAAGACTCACTGGGTCTTGCCCCAAGTCTGGAGGTCACTCCACATTGCCTGCGATGTTTCGGGGGTTCTCCAAAGTCTACAGGGCCCTAGAAGTCGCCAAGAGTCTTGGGTCGTAAATAATCTGTGAAGCCTATCCCTCCGGTCCATCCCTCGAAGCTACACCTAGCGACCTTCCCCAACAGGAAGGACTTTCTCAGGCAGATTCATGAATTTTATCGTGTCCTCGCCGCTGCCCAGGCGCCCAGCCTGCTGACGCCCTCTTGGCGCAGTCGCCCGTCTAGCTCATCTCACTGCAACCGGGCCATTCACCGGCCATCTGGCATTCCCGTCTTCTCGAGGATGAAAACTCACTGGACGCCATCATCCTCGCGAGCTTGCCGGCATCTATGGCGATTCAGCTTCAAAGAGGCAGCTGAAGAGAAATCATCAGCTCTTCTCACACACCCAAGCCCATGTGCCACCTCGCGTCAATACCCTGGACGCACATCTGGAGCTCTGATCCCTGCCGCTGCATCCTTCTGGAAAAAGGCCGAACCCATGATTTTAAAATTTGGTGCCTGTGTGGAGTATGAATGTTGGCGATGAGGCTATTTTGTGGCGTCCTGCCACCTGGTTCGTCAAATCAAAGTTCGAACGGGTTCGCAAGCCTCCTGAACCTCGCCCGGGACAGCTCTCGCTGATTATGTTGCCTATCATCAAGGTTACTCCCAACCTCATGGTCCTCATGGTAGCAGGCAGCGAGTCGTTTGTACCCTTGCGTGACGTTGCAATGCAATGACGTGCGGGGCACTGGAGGTCTGCACGGGATAAGATCAACCCTTCCACCGCCTGTCTCGGGTTGCGATGCAGCAGCAGGTAGATGCAGGGCTGGGCACATATATAGCTCCTAGCTCCCCCTTCGGTGACCTTTGCCGATCTCCCTGCCTCAGCTCAAAACCTTATCTGTCCTTCCCCCCTCGAGGAAGCTTCTTAGCTTCGCATCCCCACGAGTCGATCTTGGCAACTTCAGACGATTGACATCGCGCGACGGGACGACGAGATGAGCGGACCGCTCAAGCACGACCACTATGTTGGTGAGAGTCGGCACGATGTACAACGCGACGACAACTCGACGGAGGTTGGGGTCGTCAAGGACCAGCAGACGTTCGCCTACTCCGAAGAGCGGAAGATCGGTGTCACGGGCGCTGTCTTTCTCATTCTGAATAAGATGATTGGAACCGGAAGTTAGTACCACTAGGAACTAAACTCATCTAGCAAGGCATGTTGACATATTCGAATAGTTTTCTCGACGCCATCAGGCATATTCCAGTCTACTGGCTCCGTCGGCGTTTGCCTCATGCTCTGGCTCATCGGTGGTATCCTCACATTCTGTGGTCTATCAGTGTTCCTTGAATTCGGCCTTGCGATTCCACGATCTGGCGGAGAAAAGAACTATCTCGAGCGGGCATACAAGCATCCCAAATACCTTGCGACCTGTGTTCTCGCAGCTCAGATGATCCTTCTCGGCTTCTCATCTGGAAATGCCCTCGCTTTCGGTAGATACATTCTCTTCGCTTCCGGGTCAACAGCTCCCGATGGTTGGATCGCCCGTGCAATCGGTATTGCCGGCGCAACGTTCGCTGTCGGCATCCACGCCATCACCCCCAAATGGGGCGTCCGTCTGTTCAACGTGCTGGGTGTCTTCAAAGTTGCAGTCTTGATCTTTATCGTCTTTTCCGGGTTCGCTGCTCTTGCTGGTCGTCGTCGAGTTCCTGACCCTCACAACTTCGACAATGCCTTCCGCATCGAGGACGGAGATGGGTACGGCAATGGTGGTGTCTACGGATATGCGACTGCGTTGCTGCGCATCATCTACAGCTACAAGGGTTGGGAGAATGCCAACTATGTTGTCGGCGAGCTGAAGAACCCACGCAAGACCCTGGCTATCGCTGCCCCCATCGCAATCGGTGGTGTCACAATCCTCTACGTCCTTGCCAATGGTGAGTTGACCAAGTAAGCTGTCTGTTGGTCTTCAGTTGCTAATGTGGTGGGAAATCACAGTTGCCTATTTTGCTGCTATTCCAAAGACTGAGTTGGCTAATGCCGAAGTCATTGTCGCCGGTGTCTTCTTCCGTAACGTGTTTGGCAACAGCGCCGGCGCTCGGGCTCTCCCGGCCTTCGTCGCCATCAGCAATTTGGGCAATGTGCTTGCGGTGAGCTTCGCCCACGCTCGTCTCAACCAGGAGCTTGCCAAGGAAGGTCTCCTGCCTTTCAGTCGATTCTGGGCGTCCAACAAGCCTTTCAATGCTCCTGCTGCATCTGTACGTATCGCCAGTCTCCGCAGCCATGTCACTATGACCATATGTTAACCACCCGGCCCAACTCAGCTTTTTCTTCACTGGATTGTGACTGTCATTGTGCTAGTAGCGCCTCCTGCTGGGCCAGCTTACAATTTCATCACTGACCTGTACGTTTATCCGGGAGCATGGATTAACGGCTTCGTCGGAATGTAAGTTACATCGGCTCAAGCTATTTTAAATGACTACTAACATGTGCCCAGCGGTCTGCTGTACCTCCAGTGGAACAAGAAAGAGAATTGGACCTCGCCATGGCACACGTATTTCCCCATTACTATCCTCTACGTGTTGGTCAATTTCTTTCTTTGCATTGTCCCCTTCATCCCGCCCAATGGATCCTGGACCGCAGACGGATACCCGTACTATGTGTTCCCGATCGTCGGCGTTGGAGTGCTGCTTCTGGGAGCTCTTTACTGGTTGTGCTGGACCAAAATCTGGCCAGCCTTCGGCGGATATAAAATCGTAGCCGAAAGAACATACGATGAAGCGGGCAACGAAGTTATCCGCTACAAAAAGGTCAGCACGAAAAGGTTGTCCGGCCCTGTGGAATAACCGAGCGCAATGGCAAGTAATCTTTGCTGGGCAAAAGAATCACAATAATTGCGAACTAGTTTAGATAATAATATTGATTGTTGATATCATGTCCAAGCGAACGCATGCAATCCAACGCTCTGCTAACAGTACACATTGGTATCATCCCTACTCGAGCCTCTCACGCTCCAAACCCTCGGTGTCGCCGGGCTCACGGTAGGTTCCAGACGGCTTCGCAGAGCGAGTGCGCTCGTCAATAATGTTGTCCTTATCAATGGCCTCCTTGTCATCACGCTCTAATATCGGTCAGTCAAATCTAATAGAATCGAAATCGGCAAACATACCCAGTTGCTGATCCGAGTCGGCGGTTTGAGGGTCAATGGGGTCCTCAATCTTTGCATCATCGGCCTGGACTCTGATGGGCTCGCCGCGCTGGGGCTGGCGGGAGACGTACTCGTTGTCCTGGACGTCACCGGTGGGGGCCTCGTTGGAAGACATGATTTATGATTATTGAAAAAGGATTTGAGTATTTGAGTCTGAAATTGTGATGAAGTGTTGGTGATGTGATTTCTTTGATAATGTAGACAATGGATCCAACCCTAGGGACTTCACTTCCCTTCATATACAGAATTCAGCTGTGATATCAGCATGCTAGCCTTACTGCATTGAGTTGAAAACCCCATCAACCAAGTCATTGATATCATCGTCGGCGCAAGCAGTCTATGACGCTGTCATTTACGCGAAGAAACACGCATCAACGCGCCCGCGCTCAGTCCCTCCAGCCCCGTTGCAGCTGTCAGTGAATGGGTCCTGTCCCCGCGATGCCCAAAGCCGCTGCCGCTAGCGGCGCCACACTTAGACAAGCATCGCCAGATTGACCCAGCGACCAGACCAAAAATGCATACCCCTTGTTCCCAATTTCAGCCCTTTGAATCTCAATCAGCGATCGTCCCTGATAAAGGGGCTAAGAGCCGATTGGACAATGGCTCGGAGTCATGATGTCCGGACCTGTCTGGATCGGCAGATCGAGCTCCAACCCCTGACTTATCTCGGTGAGCTCCTGAGCTTGAGTCAGCACACCGAACAGAGAGGCTCTCACCGAGATAGTCTCCGGCATTGAGTTCGGTGTGACATCATTCCGTGTTTCGACTGATTCTTGCGTAGGGCGGGTGAGCGGGCCGCATCATATTGACGTTTGCCGTCGCCCCAGCACGCCTCAGCTTTGTCTCGAAATGGGAACGATCTGCACCCGTTTACATCACCCTCCTCTGAGAATAAGCAAGTTTAATCTTGCCGAGACGGATACCCATTGCCAGCTCAAAGTTGCCTGAGCTCTTGGTGCTTTCCATGCAAAATGCCTTATCAAAGCGAAATAACGCTCATTCTCTCATGTAGACAGCCTAGTTCTTCCTTTTCACACAGAAATTGATCGATCTCCTCATCATCCATTTCCATCGCTCATGACCAAGCACTTCATTGTCGCACAATCGTGTCCTTCCCCGCTCCCCTGCGATCCGATCGGACACTGATTCTTTGATGCTAAAAGTCGAGACGCCACTCCCCTGAACTACGAGGACCAAGCAAAACGGGCTCATCGCTAGCTCTCCCCATCGATCGTGCAGCCTTTCCGCTTCCGGTCTCCTCACAAGACTTGGCACATCCCCTCTCCTTTCACGCCCACGTGGACCGCTCGACGCCGCGGTCCGCTCTCGCGAATCAGCCATGCCGTCACGGAACTCGGATCGTCACCACCGCGACCGCGCAACCCATGAGGACGACGACCCCTACTACGACGACTACTCCTACGAGCGCCCGCGTGCATCACGCCGTGCGTCGCGGAGCGCACATGAGCTAGACTCCGCTGAGGCGGGGCGCTCGCACCGGCGTCGCGGCCGCACCTACGACGATGAAATCAGCCCTGTCCGACCGAAGACCCGCGCCCGCTCGCTTGACCAGAGGCCACCTCGTCGCCGGAACGACAGCTACGACTCGTACGATGACTACTCTGACAGCGAAGATGATCGGCGTCGACGACACAACAGGAGCCGTGGTCGGGGGAACGGTAGTAGCCGCCGGAAAGACAGCAAGGTCTCCGCTGCATCGACTTCGCGGTCTAGATTGCAGCGACGAGAGTCGGACAAGGCGCATATCATACAGGCTGCGGCGAGCGCTGCTGTCGTTGCTGGTGCTGCTGAGGCTTGGCGGATGAGGAAGGACAAGTCATCATGGCAGAAGAAGGGGATGAGGATGGCTACGGCCGCGGCCGGCGCAGGTGCCATCGCGGCGTTCAAGGACAACAACCCAAAGGACTATGGTAAGAAGGACGCAGTCGGGGCAACGATTGGAGGGTTGCTGATGAATCAATTTGCCAGCGGGATGTTAAAGAAATAATGACAGAACATAGAGGGAGGCATGTGGACACGCATATGACGAGGGAATTTCCGGGCATTATGATTATAATTTAACGACCATATAGAATTGTCTAGACGACCAATATGACATACCAGGAGTTCAGGAAGGCAATGAGTGCACAATTGAGTTGTTTATGACGGGATATGTTTTCAAGGAACGAGCAAGCATGGATGGTATTGAGTCCAGCTGTTGACCTGCCAAATGATAGGGCTCTTCTGATCTACTGAGGCAAGTGTCGTTTCATGCAAGAGGTTTAAGATTTGACTGTATTGTTTTGCTCTTCTGCGGGGTATCATGATCCAATCTTCCCACTCATGAACGGATTCAAAATCATTAGGTATGAGCCGAAAAGTGCCAGGTTATCACGCCTGAGAACCTTACCAGACTTATGAGCTCCATTTTCTTCACCCGTGCCTGAACCGTCCTGCGACTCTCCCTGCTCCGCCCATATCTCTGGCGTTCCGAAATCGGGTTCCTCTTCTGCTTCTGCATCTTCGTCTTCATCTTCAGTCGGGGTCTCCTCTGAGTACGAGGGCGCGGTTGGAGACTGTGCGAGGTCTTCAAACTTGGTTCCATGCTCCACCTCGATGATCTTCTTCGCCGCCGCAATGAGCACATCTTTTTCCCAAAGATTCTCTCTGGGCAGTGCGAAAATCGACATTAATCTGATGAGCTCCAGCCTCATCTCGAGATCGCAACAGGTTGTCACTAGAAAGAACAGGTTTGCCCCGAACCCGGTCTCGAATACGAATGGAGGCGATACTGAGTCCGAGAAAGGCCCTTCGTGTGGGATCTGTGACTCCAACCATGATAGTTGCTTGAGCACTCGGTCAAAGTTGTCCACTGATCTCTCATAGCCTGACTTGGGATCATCAAACGCAATGTTGAGCCATATTCGGCAGCACTCGTAGCGGGTCAACAAGAAGCAACGATACATCTTGAGCCCGTACTCCGCGCCGTATTTGCAGTGTTTGGCAGCCAAGGCATCCAGCTCTGTCATTTTTGGGTCGAATTCGCTGAACAGCTTCAGCCATGTATTCAACAATCGGCTGATCGTGGATTTGTCGGTAAAGTATTGAGAAAAGACAGAAATCTTCTTTTGGGGTTCAAACATGCCAGACGCCGTTTTCGGTAGTGAATGGGACTTCCGGCTTGAACGCATAATTCTTGTTGTGTGGTTGAAGATTCCGTCGAGCATCTCTTGTGCTTCGGAGAAGGTTGAAAAGGTGGTTGGTATCGGCCCCGCCAAGTCCGAAATATCGGAAAATTCGGAATTCTCATCGCTGAAGAAGAAAGCAAATTCGTTAAGTCGTCGGAAAATGGGTAAAAGATGTTGTTGAGTCCAAGCATGCTGGGGCGAGGTCTTCAAGATTTCAACGCCATGCGTACAGTGCCTTAATGCCGCCTCTCTGTCCCCGCGTATGAACTCTATACAGACGAACAATACGCATACAAGAAGTACGACTGATTCTTTATGCTCTGATTTGATGTCTTTGAGCCCGTGGATAGCGTTGTTGTAGTGCTTGAGAGCTATTGTCTGGTTGTCGAAACGTATCTTCGCATTAGACTCGGGCGTATAATAAGATTGTTGAAATAAATCGCTAATTGAGATAACTGCGTGTCGTACAGCCGGCTCGAAAGCGCTGAACTGTAACACAATATTGGTCCAGAAGTAGGGGTCCGCGGTGCCGGACATCAACGGACCCGCTGTCTCGCAAAAGAACTGCAGCGCGTGTCCCTCACTTGATGAGTTCGCTCCAGGGAAGACATGGTGTGGCCGGTGCAGGGTGAGTGTAGTCGCATCACGCGATCCAACTGGGTCTCGCACATCGATCTTCAGTAGGTAACCGTCACAGACTCGGCCTGTCTTGATGCAGCGAACGCACGACGGCTTGCCTTCGTCACACTTGACTTTCCGGGCCCTATCTATCTTGTCAGACGGTTGCACTTGGCAAAAGAGAGACGAGCATGGCACGGTTCTTTTTCTTTCTCCCGCCGGCGGGGTCCTGTCGTACTTACTTGCAGGTGATGCACCCAGTCCTGACTTTCCGGTTCCCCTTGCGGGCCATACTTTTTTTTGTTTCTTTTCATCAACCCAGGCTCTTCCGCATTTGAAACAAAGGCCAGGCTCGGACTTTTCTGCAAGCGTATCCAGAGTCCGAGCTTTCTGGGTGTGGTTTTTTGCCTGGCGCGAGACTCGCTAGGGGCTTGATTGGCGACTGTTGCGCGAAAAGGTTGCGGGAAGAGGAGAACTTGCTCGGACTCGGGCGGGACACAAAAGACAACACACGATCGCAGAGAGATCCACGCATGCCAACTTTGATTGGTTTGGGCGGGGCTTACAAGGATTGATGCGAGCCGGCCAATCTGGACTCGTGATGTGGGCAGGACCCCTGATTGTTTGTAAGGATTTGGCGTGAGCTAGCCGCCGATGCACCGTTGGGGACAACCAACACCGCTTTTCAAGCGGGTGACAATCAGCTCACTAAGCCTGTTTTGGTGTTGGCGATAAATCAAGTCCACAGACAGGCTGCCTTTGGGGGGATATCAGGAGATAAGTTGCTATTTCTTCCGCAGGATTGGTCCCCATCATTGTTTTACCACCAACTCTTACTTGTTACTTGTAGATGGTTCACAAATATGGACTCGAACATGAGAGGTTCGCCAAGCTTACGTGAGATGAGGATCAATCTTCTAGGCAGACACATAAGGCCAATGAGCTAAAAACCGAAGTTCCGGTTTAATCACGAAACTGCAAAGCATAGGTAGCTGAGAAGCCGGGAGATATAACGAAGACTTTGAAGCGACGGCGTCAAAAGTCGCAACACATGATTTTAGTATTTCACTGTTTCGATAAGATCGTCCGGAAGAGAGAATTCTGGTCATAAGCGTCTTTATCGAAGTTTTTGCAACTCACCACGATCCCATCATCCCATGCAAAAACATACTATGTCGCTGAATGTTTACTCATCCCTACGTGAGAAAAACTAGTTACAGCGCAGTGGAAGGATTTTAACTTCAACCAAGTTGCTTTCGGAGACAAAACATCACCCAAGGGTTTGCCCCAGGAGACCATTCTTGGTCCTTGCAATGGGAGCTGTCGAAGAAGATGCAGTATACCGGGCCTCGGGATGTTCGTTCACGGATCTAGGGATGGGGATACGGGGACCGAAGAAGACCACACTGGCTGCCTCTCTACCACTGAACTACACTTAGGACATGACGGGCATATTGTTAAAACCATTCGGTCCTGTCGGGAATTCAATGCTGAGCGTTTTTGTTGACGTGAAATTCATTGACGTTGTGGTCGTAGAGGTGCCTATGGATGAGTATTACTCCAGCACAGTGAGGATCCATCGCAGCATCGGTCCAGTAGAGTTTGCCAAGAGAGCAGGAGGATGTGCGATTGCAACCAAGAGACAAGAAAGGGCTCTACGTCAAAACCGGAAGAAGCACTTTGGTCTCAGTCCAATGACGATCTCATGATGCGACGGAGTTTGCGGAACGCCCTTGACGTGTTCGGAAAGCTGAGCACATTGACAGAAAAGATGTGATACTGTTGGGATGCATGCCATAATGAAGAAGCCAGAAAGCCTCCATGGACTCACCAAATTCTCCATCACGGTACTCGTCCTCACTTGTTAGCTTAGCCTTACGACCTCGGATTCCTCAGCTGATGGCCATATGTGTAACTCACTTCCCAAGGCGCACTACACATATTCTGAGCTTCATCAAGGTACGGTCATGGGCGACTTGTTGCTTCGCCTTTCGATCCCCGGCGGTCATCTTTTGTGAGTCTGGCTGGACAAAATAGGATATGTGCTGTCCATAATCCTCCTGACATTTTAGTGAAGTGCGCTCGGTATCGTTGATGGCTGTTTTGGCAGCAATGGTCCTCTGAGCGTTACACGGCATTGTAGTGTCTTCAATGCTTCATCTTAGATCATCATCATCCGTCAACGGTGTTGTCTATCAATGTCGTCGCGCTTGTGCGGCATACCGAGTCCATTAAAACTAAGTCCAAATGAGGTTTCCCAGGTTATTCCTCAAAAGCAAACATTCTAATTTTCAAGGATTCTTGGATCTCCGTGAACAGATGCTGAACGTAGAAGAGGTTATCCGTTACTTTTCAAAACTACATGTTCGGTCTTTGGTTCGCATGACGATGAATGAACATTCTTAGTTGGTTTTATTTATGTGATCAACTGGAGAATCAATACCATAACATCCCCACAGGCCACGTTCATTGCCTCAGAATTTGTGTAAACATCTTTATGCGCCAAATCCATACAGCAATGTACGTACATCAATTCATCTCGAATATGACCCACGGCATCCTGAGTCATAAGACTGGATCTACTGTCTTCAACCTAGTCGCAAACGGTGTTGTCACATTCAAGAAACACCCTCCTCCTTGGATCGCACAATGCCTCATTGAGCAATTGGGCCCGATTCTTAGAAATCGGCAGGATGTCCTCAACAAAGCCACCTGCTTAATCTATGGATGTTTGACATTAGTATGAGCTTTTGTTAAAGCAACTCCGACGTCACCCAAAGGCCGTATCACTACCAACAACTTTCTGCTCAGGTTCAATCACGATATCGGCGCTGCCGATTCCTCCGAACTCCAGCCCGAACAATCACCTCGGAGCTCGGCCAGCGGTGATCGGATCAGCCCTGGGGAGTCGCCCGAGCTGAGCTTATTTGGTGGAGGACTGCTCCACCAAGCCTTTCCTTGAGAGGTTCGAGCGAGGCATTTCTTACGGGTCCGCATCGCGCGGAACACGAGCTCACCCACTCTCGTAGGGATGGTGCCTGCATACGATGCTCCATAGCCGTTGATTTGATGATCTGATAACCTTTGAAGATTGAACCCTTGCCCGGTGAAGTTAGATGAGTCTTTTTCAACGACCTGCCCCATTGGGGCAAAATAAGCAGACCGTTGGTCATTGCCAAGACTCGGGAGTTGTATCCAGCTTGGCTTCTCATGAGCATCAATGCTACATGCCGGTTACCGGCGCCATGGCCCATAAAAGTGTAATTAATGAAGAGGAGATTAAGCATCGCGACCTCGTGAGAGTGGGTGCATTCTCACGATGTAGGGCCCTGCGAAAGCGAACAACGATGCAACGAAACGCAATAAATAGTAACCCAAGGCCTTGCCGCCCTGGCTTTCGCTTCGCCTGAACCGTCAAACCAACATTCGAGGTTTCGAGATCAATCGCCAATTCCACCGATCTCATCAAGACTGCCGGCAATGGCTCGATGGTACAGCATCGCGCAAGCGCTTCTTCTCGCTGCCGCACTCAATCCAGCGGCGGCCGAGGAGAGCAGCTTTACCGGTCGCCGCAATCGCCTGACCACTCCGGCGTCCGAAGCCGCTTCTGGCCGATATATCGTCGAGTTCCAAGCCTCGACCGGCCCGAACGCCAGACAGGACGCCACAGTCGCAGACTCTGTTGTCGACCACATCACATCCCTGGGATACGACGCTAAGGTCAAGGACGACTTTTCTGCCATCTCCGGTCGCTTCAAGGGCGTTTCGGTGGAGATCATCAACGAGAAGTCCACCGGCGCTCTAGATGACATCAAAAGTACCCCCGGAGTGGCTGGCGCTTGGCCTGTGTATCCTATCACCCTGGATGCATCCTTTGAAGTAACCACGGGCTCGCAGAAGTGGAACCCGCATATCGCCACACGCGTTGACGAGCTTCACGAGCGCAATATCACTGGCGCGGGTCAGCGCGTCTGCGTTGTTGACAGTGGCGTTGATGTCTCGCACCCAGCTCTGATCGGCAAGGTTGCTGGCGGCAAGAACCTGATCGAGACCAACTCAACTGAGCTCACCGACTGCGCCGGCCACGGAACCTTCGTGTCTTCCGTCATTGCGGCATCGCATAAGGACTTCTCTGGCGTTGCTCCTGACTCAGAGATCTACATGTACAAGGTCTTTGGGTGCGAGGACTCGACTTCCAACGACATGGTCCTCAAGGGTATGCT